GCCTAGGGCCTAGGCCTAAATCGATATTTCAATCACGACGATCTCGCTCGCGATACGTTGCTATGTTATGATTGTAAGAGTTATCGACGCATGCGCGTTTGCCGATTTCTGCTTATCTTGTTGTCAAGTAGGTTACGTAAAGGTGAGATAATTACGATCGCGGCGAGGAGGTCTGTACCTTTGATCTTCGCTCGATGTTACTCCTTCTGTTCTATTTTCTCTATGATCTGACAAACATATGTTTGCATTTGTCAGCATTAAGTCGCATACCATTCTGGTCAGACCAAAATTTTATTTGCATAATTGGTAGGGGACGTTTACCATTGCCGTTGACGACTATGTTAAGTCATCAAAATGTTTGAATACTAAAGGTGGTAACATGTCAGTAGTAGGCCTATTAGGAGTATAAAAAGCGTCATTAATGTGTGCAATAAATAATAGTGGTCCAAGTTTGGTTACTGCCCAGTTGCAACTCTTCTGATGTCCAATTATCTCAGCAACCAAAGTAAGGCCAAAAAAAAAAAATTGTTTGTTTGCCTCCTCCACCTGCCTCACTGAAAAAATTAGGGGCGAAAAACAAAAAAAGCTTAAAAAAGGGGAATTTTTTTAGCTTTTTTCTTTACAAATTAAAAAAATGTAAGTGAATTATCTTTATTTTTTGCCAGATGCCCTACAAATTATTCTAAAGTTGTTGTCTGATGTAAGATATTGCCATTCTAGGCCTCTGTGGGTTATTTTTATTTTATCTGATGAGTATTTTTTAAAAATAAATAAATTTAAAATAAAACTTTTTCCACCCGCCCCTATTTATCTTTTTAAAATAAAGAAGGGCGAACAAACAATTTATTTTATTTGGCCTAATCAGACTAATGCCTAGCTGCCCCAACCCTAACTGTCTCTACCATAGTAGTCGGACTACTGCTCAGTTGCACCAAAAGTTCAGATATCCAACTGTCTCAACTAGAATCTATAAAAGTAGGAGGTTGAAATTAAAAATCTGAGTTCATTAGTTTCTGTACTAGTCACATCCATAGTAAAATAACACCCTTTAATCTCACCATTGGTTCATAATTACTTTATCCCTCTCACCACATTTCTAACTTTGGAGTCAATCTGAATCACTTAACATGCAGAACCATGTCAGCTATACAGTAACTAAATAGGTCAACTTCTGTCTTCGTAATGTTGCACTCATTTGATGCTTTCTTTCTCGATGCACTGCTTCTTCCATTATTCATGCTTTTGTCTCATCCCATCTTGATCACTGCAATTCTCTTTTATATGCACTTCCTAAATCTCAAATTTACAGACTTTAGAAGCTTAAAAAACTCTATTGCACGAATTATAACATTCACATAATGTTGATCTCACATCACCCGTTTTCTAAAACCTCTACTGGCTTCCCATTGATTTCCGCATTAAGTTCAAAATCTTTGCTACTTACTTCTTAAAGCACTTGGGTTTAAGCAACCTATCTATATTCATTAACTTAATACCCATATTTATGTTCTGGACACACCCTAAGATCATCTGATAATTTTTTGCTCTCCGCTCCCCGCACATTCTGAAAAACCATTGGCCATAGATCTTTTTCTTTTGTTGTACCTACACTTTACAATTCAATCCATGCACACGTTAAAAACTGTTCTTTAGTTGCTTCATTTTAAAAATTACTAAAAACTTGCCTTTTCCATCACTTACGTGCATAGCGCCTTTGATAATTATTATTATTCATAACTTTTAAATGTCTTCAAGGACGTGCACCTTCCTATTTAATTAAAATGTTTGTTTTTCTCAAAAATAATACAAAATACTCGAAGTCAGACAAATAATCATCTTTTAGTTCCACAGTGGAACATTTGAAAATGGACCTTTCACTATTGAGCATCCATGAACTGGAATGAACTGCCTAGTAACATAACTAGGGATTTCCAGAATTTAAATCAAAATACCTTTAAAAATGCTCTAAAATAATAAATAATATAATGCTCTCTATTTTGTAATTAAGTCCTTTTTGTTAAAATTTCCATATATTTTCCTTTTCATTTTATCACTTTTGTATTTTTTATGTTATAACTGGACCACAACGAAAACCAGTGCATTTGCATTGAGCGTGCCATCCAGTATAAAGAAAGTTGAATGAATAAATAAATAAATAATGCACCTCAGTTACTTAATTGATTATTATTAATATTAATATTATTATTGTTGTTGTTGTTGTTGTTGTTGTTGTTGTTGTTGTTGTTGTTGTTGTTGTTGTTGTTGTTTTTTTTATTATCATTAATTATTATTATTGTAGTTTATTGTTTAATACTAGAGATAGTAGAGTGAAGAAGATTTTTTGGGAGATATCTTACGTTTATTCCACTGCAAAATTTGTAAAGACTAAAAGTTGTTTATTTAGAAGCAAATTCCATATAGATTGAACAAATTGACTTCCCAGTGCTTTGATTCAGGTACAAAGTATGTCATGATTCATAAAACAAAAACCACCTGATTTAAGAAATAAATGTTTCAAAATATTTAATATCTTGTGCCCTGATTTTGGCTATGAAATATGAAACTAATGGTTTATCTTTTCATATTGATCATCTTTTCTTTGCTCTTACATCCTTCATTTCTGTTTTTTCAACCTTGTAATTCCACTAATTTGGAAGATGTATTCATTTCTAACAACACATTAATCCAAATATACTATCAATTATTGTGTAATTTACAATATATCTACACACAGTGTCTTTGTACACAATATTCAATATTCTTTCAGTGTTTTTCTCAATGTGTTCCATTATTAAGAAAATTTGTGCACAATATATTATGATGGTTCTATGGGGAAATATCTGAGTTAGTTCATATGGATAAATCTCTTCACGAAGGAAGAACACTATTAGTAGAATAAATCAATTGTAACATTAATGTCGTACTGCTGTTGTAGTAGAATAACTACTTCAGTATTTGCTTTTCAAAATTGCTCGCAAGTTGTAATTAATTTTAAGCCGCCATTTATCATTTGCATATTGAAATATAACATCCAGAGTTATCTATCATATGATTGGTTATTATGAAAGGTGTAGGCTTTGTATCTTGATATGATGTGCTGACTGTTATAATAAACTGTACAGCAAATAATTACGATGGTCATAACTCACCGACTAGGATATTTCAGGAGACAGTTGCTTGCAAAAGAATTACTGTTATATGCTAGACAAAAAAATATTATATTAGCTTGAAAGGTTTACTGTGGGAGGATTTTGCAGTAGGGGGTGCCATCTCAGTCCCACCATGGTTGGGGCTGAGGTGAGAAAATTTTGAGAATATGCAAGATGCCCGGAAATTGTACTCTCATACTTTTAAAATCTTACCAGTACTCATTGTACTTGATATTTATTCATTGTTCTTTTGTTTGTTTGTTCATTCATTTCTTAAACTGGTGGGCACTTTTATTGACCTTTGATATTTTTGACCTTTGATACTTTAAATGTTTTTTTTTGCAAAATTAAAATTTAAAGATTGTTAAAAAGTATTTTTATTCTCATTTATATTTTAGCTTTTTAATTCTGTTCTGTATTAGTGGCGGGTTTCCTGCTGTAGAATTTGATTGTAAATGAATGAATAAATAAATTATGTGTCGCTTTATTTGAAAATATACACACACAAATTACAATAAATACAGAATGTTCAAACATCTTAGAAGATTATGCTGACAAATATCTTGATCTTCATCGTCATAATGTCACGTTTGCTATTGCCACCACAATTGCCACAATAGTTGCCACTATCTTTGCCACTACCACTACCAGTATTGTTACTACAACTGTTACCACCATCTTTGCCACTACTTTTGCTGTACTATTGTTGTTACAACATTCTTAGCCACAGCCTCTGCCACCACTGTAAATAGCATTACTGTTGCCATCACTGTTGCTACCAACTTTTTTAATCATTATATTTTTGATGGTAATATCAAGACATGAACTGCTTCCTCCTTTTTATTATACACAACTACTAATTATCTACTTTACTGATACATTAATTTAGAAACATTGTTTACCTCTTGAAACATAAACACTTATCACTATGGTGATATAGTAATATATTACTCATCTGTTGACTAATTAATTTTTTTAATTATTTTTGTTGAAGGGTGCATTACCGTTTGACGATGACAACCTCAGGAATCTACTAGAGAAAGTAAAGAAAGGCATCTTTCATATCCCTCACTTTGTACCTCCGGAATGCCAGAATTTACTGCGGGGTATGATCAAAGTTAGCCCAGAAGAACGCTTCACAGTAAGTCAATTCTCCATAAATTTTAGGGACTGAGTCAGTCTTTGTGTGACACTTCTATCTCATTTTCGTAGGTTTTTATATTCATTCATTGATTTTTTTCTTTTTAACTATTCCATATCAAAAGAAAATCTATAATATTACAGAAAAAAATAGACGTTAAAAAGCTAGGATTAACAATAGTATCTTCTAACTGCAGTGTGACATTTAACATAGGTAAATATATCTTCATGTAAGACATAAAATAATTATTTATTAATTCTCCTTTTGAAATGAGAGTAAAATAATTTGAATGAAAAATTTAATTTTTAAGGAAAAAAACTGACACAATAGTACGCTGAATATGATCGTTCATTCATGAAAAAGACATGAATCGCCTACGTTACATGACAGATTTGCTACTGTAGGGGAAGGGGCTGTCTGGGAATATGATTACGTAATCGTTATCGTTTTTGTAAGCTTGTGAAAAGTTCCTATTAATGCACTTAAAGGAAATAATTTGCTACTGTGGCCTACACCCATGTTTTTCCCTACGTTCTAATATATTATATGGCCTAACATACAGTAGTACACTTATAAAGTATATTCTCTCTCCTATATACTGTAGGCTTGTGTTATAGATAAATACTTGCATATCAAAAGCACATTAACTCTGTAATTGTCATCTTCATATACTTATAATTTGTGTGTATAGCCATATTTACATTTAATATATGTTTCATGTCATCTATGTAATTATTATTGCCAAAGTGTGACTAATTTCTTTGTATGTTCAGAGACCAATAAATTATCTAGAATCTATTTATGACGTCAACTTGTAGGAATTCCAATTTTTGTTAGAATTATCTATTGAGTTGCACATAAAGTTTAATGATATTTTTAGAGATTAGTACCTTGGAGCGGTGAATTCTTTAAATATAATTGTCGTTCGATACAAATCGAGTGTTGATAATGAATCTCGTTGAGAATCATGGCATGCTTCGGGATACAATTTACAATTATGATATCAGGATTCCAACCTTCGACCCTTGGGGGCTTTAAAGTATCAGATATATTGTATAAGCCATCAACACCTTTCCTTGAATGCTTGTATTTTAGAATTGATATTTCATTATGGATGCATACATGATGGTATTGATGATTGCCACTGCAGTATTCAGATTTAATATTATAAATGTTTATAATTTATTATATTTCTATATTACATTATAATGATACATTACTTGAAGGTATTATGTTGCAATATTCAGATTTAATATAAATGTTTATAGTTTATTATATTTCTATATTACATTATAATGATACATTACTTGATGGTATTATGTTACTGTGTGTGTAGTAATGTCATACAGTGTAATGTCGTGTTTATATTTATGTGTCATATGATAGAGAAAATTGGAGAAATCAACTTCTGAACCTGCCGTTAGGCAAAAAACAGATGATAATGATGATAATAATTATTTATGTATACTATTGTGATTTTACTGTTATATTAATATTATCAATTGTGTTGAACTCTATATTTCAATTGTTTAATTTATATAAAAACAGAAATATCTAATCCATTTATTAAAATAAAAAAAGCAGAATAATAAAATTCTTATATTGTTAATTGTTTTAATTGTTAATTGTATTAATTATTATTTTTATTAATGTACAGTAGGTATATTATAATACTGAATTGTGTATGAAAATATTTCATTCCTTACTCCATTAGGACAAATTCAGTGATAATTATGATTTTTCAAACCATCATATATTTTTGTATAACTACACCTACATTTTTACACATCATACTAACAATTATTTAAAAATCATTGCAGTGGAATTAGGTGGAGGTGGGTAGTATCTAGAGACACATTGACATTTTATCAAAATAGTTACTTAATCTAGTGAGCCATCATTTCATTTTGTTGGAACTCTCTTGTGTGTCAGTAACATTTTAAGATACTCTAGAGTTGACCGGATGTATTTCTACAGAGAATGAATACAAGTTTATTTTAAGTTGTTTATTTGTTTAATTGGATTTTAATGTTAGAGTAAAATTCACCCACCTGGTGTTGTCTTGTTAAAAGAATTAAGCTGTAGCTTTGTGGTTGAAACTCTTGTCTTAGGGTTCTCGGTTAAAATCCTGTCATAGTTTTAGTTTTTTTGTTTTTTTTTCTCATCAAAAATCAACTCCACTCAGAGACTAAATCCGGGCACTGTAACTCTACCTGACGTTTACCAGGCTGATTTGATTCTATGCAGAATGCCATGACACGGTTGTAGCGGATCGTTTTTAGTGATGATCCATTCAGACTGCCTCCGACAATCAGCAGATGATGTTGCGTCTTCTCGTGCTCACAGGGCGTGGTGTTAGATAGCGTAGCAAGTACCCGACTTTATTCTATGTATAGTATCTTGTGTGTATGTTTCATGTTATGTGTCATGTGAAGGGAATGCCACATAGAAATTGATTGAAATATCCTAGGTGCCTGGTCGTAAAGAATAAATAAATTTTAAAATTTAAATATTAAAAACATAATAATATTTGAAGCATATAACCCAAACATAAAGGTACAATTTAAATAAATATACTGGAGACTGGAATATTTAGATGATAGAATTATCTCAGCAGAGATAAATCCTGCAGTTGTATACTCACCGACTGAACATTTTAAAAAGATATTTCCAACTTAAAAGCAAAGCTTAACTTGCGTTAAGTTATTTGCAGTACTGAACTTATTGTTATTACACATCCATCATTCACAGATTTTATTGCTACATGTGGAGCTGTGGCTTTTTGTTTAAAATGTTTGTCATCCAATTTCCAGAGTCCTGGGTTAAAATCCTGTAACTTAGGTTTTTCTTCTCCAAAATTAATACAACTCCACACTTCTTAAGCTACATATGTGACTTAGTTTAGCATTAATTCCATGCTGTATGATGCCTTCCAATGCACCTGTGATTACACCCTCACAAGTTGTGATATGCGTTCCAGTGCTCAGCCAACCGGTGATCACAACTTGCCCAGTGGTGATTTTAAAGAGTTACTTGAGATGAAGTTGTGAATATCTACGTCATATTTAAGCAAAATATAGCGGCAATTTAAATATTAAACTTTGAAAAATTACAAAATTGTAAAAATATATTTTACACTTTTTAAGCAATAGATTGATTAAACATTATATAGAGTTTATAACTCATAAATTTAGGACTGTACATTATGAATATCGCACCTCTCTTTTTTAACAATACTTGTGCATGCATATTTACACTGGAACGCATTTTATGTTGTTAGACACTGTTGTTCGCCGATTGTGTTCACTCTGTTCACGAATACATTGGAACGTAGCATTAAAAAACTTGCTTTTTGTTTGCATTGGAATGTCACTACCGATTATCATTCAGCATTTCTTAATATGGAAATCAGCAACTATGAATATAATTACTGAATCTAATGTCTTCATCATTTGCATTGGAAACTTATTTCCATTACAATGATTTGTATGCCAGTGACATTTCATGCAATTGAATTGTCATTCAAAATGTCTTTTATATGCATGACCTGAGGCAGTAATTGTCATCATTCAGAATATTTTTTTGTATTAAGGCATTGGATTTGGAGATTATGAAATTGGTGTTTTCATTCGTTCGTGGATTGGTAGATGTCTTTAGCAACCGCTAGGTGTATGACAACCTAGAGGCGAGTAAAATAGCTAAACAACAGACAGATAAGCTTTTCTGAGTCAACGGCCAACCACGCTTAGTTTAAGGAGTAGGATTAGTTTATGGCTATTTTAAAGATTAGATTCTTGGTTTGTTTTCATGTACAACAAAATGGTTTTCTTTTCTGGATAATGTACCAAGCTATTACTCAGTAAAGCCCTGTTCACACTAACAAAATTGTATTTGACAGAAACATGTGACTGTCTAAATATGGTCATGATGACATCATGACCATATAGGCACATCGTTACTATGTTGTATGACATTTTTTTCTTCATTCAATTATTACAGTTGCTGGCATTTTTAATTTTATTATATTGTTTTTTGCTTACATCTGACACCTTGATTTACAAGCTCTTTTGAGTTTTTGATGAATAAATGAATAAATCGGCAAAGATTTGATAATCTGGACAGAGCTTTATTTTTATCATGGATGTTTATGCGCATAGGGAGGACCCAAGCAAATGCACATTATAATGGTCTGCACTTCCAAATGTTATGTGGCAGGTTACATCCAAAATTTCAGAGAAATGCATTATGCATTACTCTAATTAGGCAAATGTAAATTGGTTAGCATCCTTGTGTTATCAATTTCATGGTAGAAAGGGAAGCTTTTGTTTTCTTGCTTCGAACATGAAAAAAGAGTGTAGCAAGTAAAAACAGCAAAACAAAGAAGAAGAAAACAACAGAGACCAAAATTGCATATAAAAGAAATTATGTAGTTCATCTATAGCAAGCAGAAATTTAACTATGAATAACAGTGTCATGCAATTATCTCTATATAATTACTCACAATTTACTCCAACACAACAGCCATCATGGATGCCTAATTACAGTATAGAACAACAGTATTGCATAGACCTGCAAGTGGTCTGGCTAGGCTGCGGATGGGTGGTAAACAAACCTATGTTAAATGGAGTTTGTGAGTATTTCTGAAAACAAAAAAAATCAGGTCGGTGGCCTCTCTGATGGTAGGGAGGGGATGCTAACCAATTATTTTATTTTACATGGCCTTAAACCTGGCCATTTATTGGCATCAATTTTATTTTACTCTAAAGAAAAAAAAAAAACAAAATAGGAGATTAACATTTTCTCAATGACTTCTTCGTTACTAGGCAAATTCAGAGGATGTAGATCGCATCTGCTGGCTCTTGCCAGCTGTTATTTGTGTATACTTTAATATACAGTTGAGCATCCGAGGCGCTGTAGGTAGGGTAATTGTTTCATGAACCCGCCGCATTATTCTTTATTTTTTTTATCTTGCCCACCAATGTTTATAAGATATTTTGAAATAATTCCAGTATAATATTATATTTCACAAGTGTCAATACTAGCAATGGAAATGTGTTGGCCGTTTATACAGCATCCCTCATAACAGAACCTAAATCGAGGGAAGGCTGGCCTAGCCTAGCCGTGTTGTTATATTATTGTTACTATATTTCTTCATCAATAGATTAGACCCTATCGCAAAATCAAACATAAAAAATTCATCTGCATTTATTTTTTGTGTGGAACTCAAAAAAATCAAATTTGTATTATATTTTGCATTTTTTCATTAAATTAGCAATTTCATATTATATTTATAAACCTTTCTAACATATAAAAATCAGATTTTTCTTATTAAAAAAATTAAATTTTGCCAGGAATGGGGCTTTACCTTTTTAAATGTTAGGCAGAAGCTTGTCAAGAGAATATAAAATATTGTATTTCTTTTGTCATTCAAATTGTAATATCTAAATGTCTATGTCATTATAGTTGTCATGTGACTTATGAATAATGGATATTATTTCCATTAGTGTTCATCATAATCAACCGGTAGGGCACTTTACTGTATTAAAAATACATATTGTAACCTAGATTTCAAACTAGTCACTATGAATAGCAACTACTGTACACTGTATAATAAAAATACAATGTAACCCAGATTTGAAGCTATTCACTGGAATAGAAAGGGTAAAGTAAAACTCACATCATTAGTGTGCTAGCCACATGTGTATATAAATAATTTGAGATCTGTAATTAGAATTTTATCATGTTGAATAATCATTTTTATTGTTTTGTCAAGCGTTTTGTGAGAGGACCACAATGGAAATAAGTTTCAACTTGTTTGTGTTGTGCTCGGAATACTGATTTATCTTGTTTTGTATTGCATTGATCACACAGTTCCAAATACTGCAAAGTCAATCATCCATTTTAGCATAAATTTACATTCAACATTCAATTTTTTTATATACAAATGTTTTCAAGACATAGACAACCCCAACATACATAATCTACACCTACAAAACTGTATTGGAAAACTCATTTTATTTTTCATTTACATTTATTTTTCAAACAAATACATTAATGAATTCCCAAGTGGAATTCAAATATGCAGAAACACCACAAAAATTACTAAAACACATATACTGTATTATATACATATCTTTTTTTTCATTGAAAGACATAGTGAACAGAACATTTATCTTAACAATCGAATATAGCATGGATGAAAGTTGACAAAGTTGAATCTATTTTAGGGAATGCAAAACTGAAATGAATGCTTGCATGCTGTAACTGCTAAGGGCAAAATTCAAAATTGAAGATACTGTACGTTACGCCTCGTCATTTCTATTATTGTTTCATTTGATCTCTACATCCTTCATATTACATATCTATACATCCCTTCAATTGGGCAGTTTTATGGTGCAGAGTAAATTTTTGTGCTTTTCATATTTATCAAAATTGTAAATTAAAAAAACATCAATGTTGTTTTTTTTTTCTTAACATCCAACAGCAAGTACACTTGTCACTTACAGGATGAGAATGATGCTTTATAAACTAAGTCTCTTTATGAGGCTTCTAATAGGGAGTGGAGTTGATTTTGGTCATGAGAAAAAGTCCTGTTGTGACAGGAATTGAACCCAGGACCCTGGGATGAGAAGGCAAGCATCTTAACCACTGAGCTATTCAACTCCACTTTTATGTTAAATACTACACTAAATGATTAACTAAGATATATTCAATTTTTGTCTTTCTGCACCATCATATTTTGTGTTAGTATATCAAAATTAAGATAGGTTTTTAAAGAAAACTATGGTGGAAATTAGAGATGGGTTTAATAGTTACGTAAATATGACAATTATTTTTAAGAATTAGAATGGATAAATATGACGTATTAAACTTATAAAGTTAAGAATTTCTGATTCGGCTATCGTGAAATTGCCCAATTTTCATATTATTCTTTGTAGAAACCAAGGGGGTCTACTGATAATAATTAACATAAAATTGATGATTAATGAATTACAGTATATAGTATGAACTCCAAAAAAATAAGCCATTAACCAATTCATTAATTATTAGAATATATCACTTCTTCAATTTAAAAGTAATTTTTGATCCCACTACTTCATGTATTCATATACCCCTCCCCTTACCTGTGATAGATTTTGTTCAGCTGTTTGTGATTACCATCAGTGTCATCCATCTGTACTGATAGAAGTAGATACAATTACAATATGCTAAGATATGTTCCTAAGACATTAGGTCGTACATGAGTCATCCAGGTTGTTACGGTCAGTAGACAGAATTCAGAATTCTCGTATGCGAAATTAATCATTTTGCACGGATTTATTTGTCAGGGGTGAAATATCTTCACAGTAGTTCTTGGAGAATAAGCCAGGCAAAGTTCAAAACATATATTTAGTAATATGTGTGAATAATATATAATGTATCCAATTTTTATTACGTACCGTATGTTTTAATGAACTAATTTTTGTATGTACTGCATTTCTTGTGTTTGATGTTTTTGTATATTTGAACCAGTGACAGTGAGTAATACTCAATATATTGATCATGCTGGATCCTACTTAATCATAGTAAACCGTAGTTTCCATTAAAAATCGCTACACTGTTGCTACACTGTTGCTATAGTGTCTTCAATGCAATTGTACTGCGTAGTAGTCTTCCTACCCCAGATTCGACCGACCAATCAGCATCACTGACAGCTATCGGCGATAGCGTGTAGTGATTGTATGGAAACCAAGCTGAATGAAGGTCCTGTCAGAGGTCCTAGCAGTAATGATCAATGTTTAATATAATTTTTCTTATTAACTAGTACATGCCTATATGCAGATTTTTTTTCCCCTTAAGCAGCTTACAGTATGGGTAAAGCATGACTTCTTCAGAGTTATTCTGAAAGGCCAATGACAGAAGTTGACTTACAGTTCAACTGCTCTGAGTCATTTAGAAATGTTTCCAAGTTCAATTCCAAACATTTGATATTTTTTTAAAATATTTCAGGTAACAAAGCGCTTTTGTTTTCCCTGGTCAGTGGGTCCACTTAATGCTTAAAAGTGTTGCTGCCATAATTGGCACAGTAAAAGGAAACCCATTTGAGAAGTATGGTAGTTAATACACGCCATCGTGTTGGGATTCAATATTTCGACATTAATTATGTCATCATCATTCCTGATTTCAATACTTGGAGTATGTATTATACTTTCTTATCTGAGATTAATCATTGGACCTTTCTGTTTATGGTAGTGCCTTGCTTAAGGACAGAGGCAAAGTACATAGGTTGAGAAACCAAACTGCTTCCACATTGTCAAAATGGTTTGTTATAATATGCTAAAAAATACTGATTCCAAATCTAGTTTTTTCAAGGATTTAGCATCCTCAATTTTTGCTGGATTTGACACTGTGTTAATTAGCTGCAAGGCGTTTAACTATGATTCTAAGCCTAAGCAATCGTGATCCATTATGTTAATTCCAGAGCCTAAAATGCACAGAAATTGTAAGGAGTATGTATTACAGAACAGTATGCTGGAGGGCATATATGAAGGAGAACACATGTAAATGTATAGTTGAGTAGTGTATACATATGACAATAAAGGTACATCTCATATCTTTTAGGAAGGTTTATAGAATTATTTGACAAACCTTCAATTTTTTTTTTAATAATATATTTTTTTTTTTATTAGATGGCTCAAGTTCAGCGACATCAATGGTACTTAGGGTAAGAATTACATTTTTTATTTGCTCTCCAATGTTACAAGCAAACCTTGCATTTTTACGATACTCTGAATTACAACATACTCTGTTTTATGGCCGGCTTGTCAAACCACAGCAAAAAATCCCAGCTTAAATTACCTGCTTTGATTACAAATTTAAGGTTTACAGCTGCTCAATTTAACATTGAAAAAAAAAATCCTAGCATAAACATAAATTCTTCAACCATAGTTGTAAAATCATTAAAATAGTAGGCTTGAGTTCAAGAGAACCAAGCTAGATACAGTGATGGAGGCTTGCACAATAGGCTAAGAAGATCATCTAAGCTCCAGCGGTTCTCTGATTCTAATCTTTTTGGTGTATTGACATTTGAAAAAGATATACTACAAATGGTTCCAAGGTAAATTGCTATCACAAAAATGCCAAAGTTATAGAAAATTGAGGCACAAAAAGTGGCAAGAGCCAGCTCTTGTTTGTGCCTTGGCAGTCCTCCATATCAAACTTCGTACATTTTTCTGAAAGTAGTATAAAGAGAGCAGCTTAGCTCAGTCGGCTAATCTGATGGTAGCTGCTGTGTGCGCGCTGAGGTGCCTGGTTCAATTCCTATCGCTGCCTCTCCTTGTGTTTCAGCTAGAGGGCTGAAATACAAGTTACAATAGCGCACCGTCTTTCGGATGAGACGTTTAAGCCGTTGGTCCTGTGTGCATTTATGGCCCATGTGTACGTTAAAGAACGCAGTACACTCTTCGGAAAAGAGTAGGGGATTGTCTCCCAGTGTACTGCCCAATCACCACCAGAAGGACCCCACTGGAAATAAGTCTTCTTCTAGACTTTTGTGGGCTATCCTTAGTGTTTACACCGAATAAATCCAATCCAATCCAATCCAAAGAGGAAATTCATAATCTTTTAGTATGTCAAACTGACTTATTTCTTGCTTCTCTGTTATAGTCTGGGCTAAGACCAAAGTAAGCTTACTTTGACTTTTGACTTTTCAAAATTATGTTACTTCTAAATTACTATGTGATATTGTCATACTACGTTCCACATAATTTGGAAATATGCAGTAATAAAAGTTAAGCATTTTTGTTGACTTAAATCGACTCATAAGGCGAAGTGTGTCAAATATGAATGTTCGATGAATGTTAGAATTTGACCTTTGATTTCAAATTCCGCTATACAACCATTTCAAATTATAACCACTGCTTGTCGAGAAGTGACTTAACTAGGATGTTTTACTGTACTTGAAATATACTGTTCATGAATCGTTAATACATTTGAACAACAAATTGAATAGTAAATAGTTTCATCTGGTTTCCAATATATAAAGCTATGTCTAGGTAATCAGATTTTCTTCGACAAAAAAATGTTGTATGCTCATATATAGTCATGATGTGTTATGATGTGATGTCATCGTGACTATATTTAGGCATTTCACATTTTTTTGTTAATGAAATTTGATAGACTGGACAGAACTTAAGCCTAGTGTCTGACAAAGCTGATACAGTAGTTGGCTAAAACTGGCATTCAAAACACACCCTGCAACAAATTTGAATATCTGAGCTGCTTTCTTTGTTTAAGTTCAATTTATTTGTTTCAATTGGAAGTTATAAGATAACTTTTTTTTTAAAATTGTTTTTTCTCAGTGGCAGCAAAAGTGATGGAGCCGAAGTGGAACCTATACGACTTCCTTCTCCTAAGGTATTTAAAAAAGTAAAAACATATATAGTGGGTGACACTACCAGTGTATCCTGATGTTCAGAGCCCTCTTTAAATAAATGAAATAATATGATGCTTTTATCATTAAAGTCTCTTTATGAGGTTTAGTGAGTGGAGTTGTTTTTAGTCATGAAAAAAAGTTACAAGAATTGAACCCAGGACCCTGGGAATAGAAGACAAACATCTTAACCACTAAGCTATTCAAATCCTCTATTTCAACCTTTAAAAAAAGATATTGTATACATTGCTTCATAAGTTTGATAAATCAATAAAAATTAAGATATATAAAGATAGCATTTAAAATGCGTCAACTTCAAGTTTAATAATCAAAAGTGAGGGGATTATATAAAGTAGTCCTATTTAAACAGTTCATTTAACTAGAAATTAGAAGCTCATAGTCGATTCTTGATAACCCTGAACGAGTCATCACAACTTTAAATTATTTCTTTAAATGCTCTTCAATCTTAATAGGAAAAAATATCCATTTCTTGTTTCGTTTTTTGAAAGGCCTGGAAATTGCAGTACTCAAATACGCATTAATCAAAAGCAGGTTTTTACTAAAATAATAGGCGCTGTAATCCTCAAGATTATGTAGTTAATGACCACCGGATTTAGGTATTTTTTAGTACTATAGTAATAATAACTCATGATTTAAAATGGACCTTATAAAAGTTGTTTTGAATTTGTTTTTTTTTTCAAGAAAACTATATCTATTATCAATAAGTGGTCTATTAGAAGTTATTTGAATCTTAATATAGCTAATGTCATCCTATTAATGGATGGTAAAGACTGTCAATGCCTAAATATAGTCATGATGACAACATATCATGACCATATATAGGCACAACATTGTGTTTTTTAGTTTAGAGTGAAAATGTCATTTTAATTTAACTGCGCATGTCTGAATGTTGTGCATAAGTTACATTCTCCTGAAATCAAATCGAAATTGATTTAACGTAGAATGCACACGGCAACAGTCATGGATGAGTGAATCCATTCTATGTTCCTGTTCAACGTTCTCAATCGAAAACTCCTATTAAACATTGACTGGCTAGTTATTCTACTATCAATTATTTGATTTATAGTATAGCCTGGAAATGTAGGGTGTGAACTCTTGTGAACCTATAGGTTACATGAAATGATGACTTTCCCGTTAAATGCATCATTCTACTCTGATGTATAGTCATGATGTGCCTATATATGGTTATGATGTCATGTCATGATGACCATATTTAGGCATGTCATGGTTTTCTCAGATAAAATATACATATATTCACATATGGTCCATGATTATGTCTGACAGTTTGAACAATTCTTTGTTCACACACGCTTTCTTAATTTGCTAGGTTGGCTAATGACATATCACTTGCATGTCGCTTTACTTAATGTCTCACAAAGCTAGCAAATCACAGAACAGAACTCACTTTGAAATAACATGACAATGTGAGTAAAGTCAAGACTTTTTTTATCTTGTTTAGCAAACTCCCCAACCACCAATGACAGTGATTTCCAATAAAATTATAATTTTACTTTTGGCCAGTTACATCACCCTTTTCCACAAAAAATGGAAATTTCAGAAAAAAATATTTTTTTTTTATTATGCCCTCTGCTCAGCTGAAATTTCCAAAAATAATATATATATATTTCTTCCTAATTATATAAATTTAAAGCATTTATCAATCTCATAAACTAGAAGAAATCAGCTTAGCTCAGTCAGCTAATTTGGTTGTAGCCACTGTGTGTGCACTGAAGCGTGGAGATCTCTAGGTCTCCGGTTCAATTCCCATCGCTGCCTCTCCTTGTGTTTCAGCTGGAGGGCTGAAATACAAGTTAGAATAGCGCACCGTCTTTCGGAGGAGATGTTTAAGCCGTTGGTCCTGTGTGCATTTATGGCCCATGTGCATGTTAAAGAACGCAGTACATTCTTCGGGTTGTAGGGGATTGTCTACCGGTGTACTGCCCAATTACCACCGGAAGGACCCCACTGGAAATAAGTCTTCTAGAATTTCATGGGCTATCCTACTACACTGTTTACATTAATCCATAGAATTTATTTTTCTCCTACGCCTATATGCTTCCGGAAAAATCATTTTGCTAAATAAGAAACAAAATTTTATTTTAATTTTTTTTCTACACTCCTCTGATGACCTTTAAAAAAAATAATTTCGCTAAACAAGGTATTAAAAAAGTCTTGGATAATAAGCAATAAGAACATACCCCATTGATATAACATCCTATTAACATTTCTCCGAGCAGTCAACACTTCCTTAGCTCCTAACACATCACTCTTAAACTTAAAAATGATACATCTGTAGATATATCTATATTGATTAACAGTAAAATATAATCTCCAAGAAGCTGAGGTAATTTTTTGCATGATGTTCTGTATCCTCCAGTGACCAGAGTAAGCTAAACAGAAGCGGTATTGTAACCTGCTTGCTATGTGAAAAAGATACTGCAGAAATGACCATTAAAAAATATTTGTAACTCACTATATTATTGTGTGATTATTTTTAGATTGCTGTTATACGAAGTGAAGATGAAATTGACTCTGATGTTTTAGGTAATATGGCTTCCTTGGGATGTTTTAAAGACAAGGAGAATTTAACAGTCAAACTAATGAGTCTAGAGTAAGTATATTATGTCTTATATAATTTGTTATAAAAGTCAATTTACTATTAAGTTAACTTTTGACATCTAATACAATTTTCCTACACTAAATTACATGTAGTGCACCAGTCGGTTTGACACCTGTCCATTCAGCAGTTCAAAACCATTCATGTACACATTGCAACATTACAATCTATCATTATGATGTTTACCTTTCTCTAAGCTCACATGAGCCACTGCAGCATGGACGTTGCTTATAATACAGTTCATTTGTAGAGCAAGAAACAAAATTAGATTCTGAACCCTACTTGCTAAATTCACTTTAATCTTTTTGCTATGGTAAATTCTGAATGCTGATTGACTAATAAAGCAATTAGTATAGTCCTTTCCTTACTCTGGTCAGAAAAATATTACACTTAGCAACTATTTAGTCTTGTGCTATAGTAATTTCTCCTTCCTGTTCTATAATTTCACTATACCATGAGCATCTTTATTTTTATTTTAATTTAATTTTTATTATTACTAATCAAATTATAACTATTAGTGTATGGAATACAATTAATAACTTATTAATTTATGTAGGTTTACTGTCCATCAAAGAATTGTGCTGGCTCTATACATTCTACTAATCTTCCTTACTTCATTTTTTAATTGCTAATCAACTTTTTTGTATATGTATTTGTAGGCCTACGTATGCCACATAGTGGTAAAGATAAGATTTTGTAAATGATATATTTGCTCCACTTTATCTGACATCTGACTATTTATTCCCATTTTCACATCCTGTTAAACAGCTCCCTTATGGCACCTATTTATATTGCTCAAAGTTTCTGTCACCTTTTCTGATTTATGAACATGTTGTGACTTCCAACTGCCTCCATTATCATCACCAACCCACAAATTTTGACAGGAACCTGACTCCAGAAATCATAGTTTGAAGTGAAAATTATCTAGGCTACCTATCCAGTTTTGTGTAATATCTTTATTTTGTGGGCTGAGTGGGTATTTTACTTATTGATGCAATTTTAAAAATAATTGAATTTCATTAAAGCCTGAAAGTCATGGATGCTTTCTACCCCTCCCCCACCACCTCCACTCAGCTGGGAGATGTTGATTTCTTTAATCTTAGCTGTCAATATTATTTATTGTCTTATTAGTGAAAATACAGAGAAGGTAATCTATGGCCTGCTATTAGATCGCAAACTCCGTAAACCAAGCTATGAAGATGAAAAGCAATATAGAACCAGATCTGACTCAGGTATGAAAGAAAGAAAATCAAAGAAAGAAAATCAAAGAAAGAAAATATGTTTAAGATGTTTGTAAGAATCAGATTTAACGTGTGTTATATTTAGTTTTTGTTAGGTATTATAATTGATTGATTGATAGATTAATTGAAGCGCCATCTATTGGTGAGCAGAATAAAACAGTTCTAATGATGACTGCACCAGATACAAGATTGTGTGCAAATTAGTCCCAGAAATCCATCTAAACATGGTAAAAGGGCTCATTTTACTCATTCAATTTTACATACATATATACCAAAGGGTTATGTTTCTGCACATTTATATTCATGTATTATTTAATAATTATATACTGTAATAATAATATTTTTTATACAAAATAATCCACATTTAATTTTGATGCAGCTGATCCACCAAGAAAACGGGTTGATTCATATCGAAGTAGGCGGCCCGAGAGAAGACTAACGGACAGGTCACGTGACAGCACACCCACGCATGCAAAACGTGTGTTGATGATGGCAGAATCAAGGTATGAACATTTTGATTCAAGAGTTGAGCTGCGGTTGGTGGATAAGATCCTCATCTTTCAATTCCGGAGTCTCCAGTTTAATCTGTACAAACCGCGTAGGATTTTTCTTACAAAGAAAAAACAAATCTGTTCCTTAAGCTTTATGACCTGGCTTGGATTTAGAGCATCAGGAGCCTCAAATTACCAGATCTGTTAGTTGCATCATACTTAATGAATTATTACAAAGTGAAAAAGTCTCAAATAAAAAATTGTGATTTAGGAATCATAGGATTGATTATAAGGGATGTACAATGATCTTGCCAGCTTGGAAACCAGCTTCATAAAAATGATGATTAGTTAATAAATAATCAATGTTATGTTGGTAACCGACTTTGATTGTATCGAATTTGCAGTCTCTAGAGAAGCGAGTTGCTATATTTAAGTCATGCGTAATGAGATTTGTCTTGACTGTATACCAAGCTACTGGCATAAAATTAGATACGATTTTTCATAGTCTAGTTATGTTTTTCAGTCTAACATGAGTCATGTTAAATGCTACATTGATAGACTGTACAATATGACATGTTAATGCAATATTACAAGAATGCTAAAATTAATTTTAAAAAAAAATTACCTTTGATTATATTATTTCAAAAAAGATAATATGTTATCCCTCTTCCTTCACCTCTGGACTGCTTAATGTATTAATCTTTTTTTAATAATTGTTTGGCAAAAATTTTGGATGATACTGATTAATTTAAACATGCATGATAATGAATGTCTTCTAGCAGGAGCAGAAGCCTAACATGTAGCCCGGCACGAACTTCAGGGAATGGCGTGTACCAACCACGCCGCAGTCATCCTACTTCCGCGTCAAGTTCCAGCAGTGGAAGCTCAGGTACGCCGCCAGATAGTCCGACAGGAAGCAATCCACCGACACCATGGAAGGCCAAGTTAAATAGCTTCAAAAATAGTATTCTAGGATCACCTAGATTTCATCGTAGAAAGATGCAGCCAGCAGAACAAGAAGAACTAACACTGACTCCAGACAGTTCACCAGAGTAAGTCTTTGCACACATTTCTTACTCTCTTCCTTGTCCTCTTCTTACAACATTTTCCTTACCTATTTTCGTAGGTACTCATTTCCATATGATACTCATTCCTTACCCAGTACGTAAACCCATTCTCTACTCTCCATGTTTGGTTGGCCTTTAACATTTTGTTGTGCTACAAGGGTTTTCTCTGGTGTTTTATCTTCATTTCTTGATAAATCTTCGCCTATGTTGCTCCTGTGTTGTTATTTCTCTTATTACTAATGCTATTATAATTTTGAATATTTAATGGCTCTCATAAATTTCCTGTCTTTATTTTATATTCCTTTTTCAATTTATAAAGTATATTTCAGTGTTAGTTCACATTATTTACTTATTTTGCTTTTTATTTATTTGAGATTTTGTTGTCATCATCGTTTGTGTTTAAACAGTAGAATAGCCTGAGTGTGTTTATTAATGTCCCTTACAAAGATTCTAAATGCCATTGTAAATCGGAACTGCTACTCTGTTAATCTTAGATTAATCCTTATCGTTATGTACATGTAGTGGGTACACATTACAAACATCATGCCTGCCGCTCTATTTTCTTGTTTATTACAATTCATAATTTGAGTTGATATCCAGGATTAGTGAATTGTCACATTCAATTCAAATCGCCTTCCTTAAATGTTTAATGTGTTTTGAATTCCAAATGCTTCTTTTTTTTTGTACAGAATGTCCAAAAAATCTTGGTTTAGCAATCTAATGAGCTCAGAGAAAGAAGAAGAGGTGATAATGGCAATTGCAAACAAGTCGCTAAGTGTTATCAAAGCAGATCTGGTACATGCATTGTTATCGGTAAGTAACTCTGGTAGATGGTTGATTGGTAGGCACGGTTAAATCACAATGTGTGTTTGAAGTAAGCCTAAACCATGCATTAATAACTCTGGAGAAAGCACCTGATCTGTGCATTGTTATCAGTAATTCTGGAGCAGGTTAAGGAGGGAGAATTCCAGTTTGTGTTTAAAGTACGTCTGGTGCATTATTAGTATCTCTGACAAAGGTTGAGGAGGGGGAATCCCAGTGTGTGTTTTGATCAAAGCAACCAGGTCCAATTATTTTTACCAACTTAATGCAATGTGTACACAGCTTTGGTTTTTTAGAACATTAGTTTCTTTCATCCCATAATGTGAGTCACTCGTAACATGATTTGCATACTTCATTATATGTTGCCAGATCCAGGATCTTTCGCATTGCGTCCAGTCTCAGACATTATTCAAGGCCGAGTATCGACGTGGAGGGAGTGGCGCTGTCTTTGCAAAGCCAATCAAATTCCAAGTTGAGATTCGTCTGCCAAAAGAAGATGAATGTCAAGAGGTTATGCAATACAATCTTCATTTCATTCTGGTTGCAGGTCAGTTACATTCCCTACAAGTTACTAAAGTAAAATATAATATATATTTTAGGTATATTTTATTCAGTCAGAATCACATTCAAATGACAGTCATTGTAGCATATGCTGAATTGTGTAACTGAATATAAAATTACAAAAGCATAAATATAGGATTAATTGCATTTAGAAATTTACAAATCATTATTGAAAAATATTGTGCACTAATAAATGTTAAAAATTACAAATAGAAAAACATTTGAAAATAGATATATGACAGCAAAATTACAGAGACAATTTATCAATTGAGTGTACTTACAATTTTTTTATATAATATATAATAAAATATAATACATAATAAAATACAATTTTACTTTTACTTATAACTACAGTAGAAACCCTCAATTACGAACCCCGATTTAACGAATTCCCGATTTTACGAACATAAAATCCCGGTGATGACGTCATAAAATGTGATGTGAAAAAAAAAAAAAAAAATCCGCTTGAATTGTAACTGTTATTAGCATGCATACAACACAACATAGCATACTATATAGTAGTATGTAATTCTCAAGTGAAGGAGGCCCTCTAACGAGCCTCTTCAATTTCAGTGTTTATTATGGCATACATGTGCATGCGACAAATGGGATCATGCCGTACATAATTGAGGGTTCTACTGTATATATTTACAGTTTTCTTAATATCTTGTGCTTCTAGGACCAACACGTCGATTTAAACGTTTGATAGAACTTATCCAATCACAGATGGCTGTAACAAGAATTCGCGGACGAGGAAGTTCCAAAATTAAGTCACCCAATTCATCTCGTAGGTCCAAACGGATGGTACCGACATGCAGTGAAGAGGACGATGTGTTTAGGCCAATGCATCGTGATGACGAGAACTGTAATGAGAAGCCACTAGCAAATAGTGATGCTCCTTGTACGATATCAAATAAATAACACTTTCTCACAAGATCAAACCTCCTATTGGCTACTGCTTAACTTCTAACAGCTAACGATGCAATATTTGTTTTTTGAGTGCTGTTAGCAGTTATGTGTTGTAAATTTACCCAATCAGCAAAGGGCTTATAATAGTATAGAATGATAAATAAACTTGGTAGATATTTGAATTTTTAAAAAGTGTACAAATTCACTTAGGAACCATAGGCTTTGGATTGCCAGACTGGATCCAAAAGCCTAGATTCTGTGACCTGGAATTACTTAGGTCGGATTTCCAGGCTTAAGATCTGTTGACCTATGATATAATAGGGAGCTTTTGGATTGCACAACGACGGTAGGAAGTAGCAATGACGTCAGTAAAAGTCATCTGCACATGCGAGAATGTTAAGGTCACCTCATCCAGTAGATTCCGGAACGCAATTTGGCCAAATCCGCGTACGCAGAGAACGTAGGACGCCAGGTAGGACGGTCACGCATGAGTGATTCCGTTCTAGCATCGCGTCGTCGCACAAATCAAAAGCTCCCTATAGCCTTAAGATAGCAACTCTAGGTCGCAGTTCAACCTGTCCATGGGATGTAATATGTATCAGGATCATTCCTGACATTTTAAGTAATGTTCCTACAGTATAAGTAGAGTTAATGAATGATGAACACAGCCAGATATCCTACCTCTCTATTGCAATGACAGAATAGGCAAATGTAAAGTCTTCATAATGTATTGTACTCCTTTTTGTTACACTAAAAGCCCCTCTTGATCATTTTCATTTTGGTCGAAATATGCGATCATGCTACTGTAGTTTAAGTAACATGATAAACATTAAAACATTCAAGAACATGATCACTTTACATGCCCCAGCTCATGTCATCCTCGTCTTTCTACTTAGGTATATGATCACACTCATCAAACCCATGATCACACATATTGTTTCAATTTCCAATTGTAGAGATATGATCATGCTATTCATCATGACCAAGTGGGTAGTTCAATAACATGATCATGCTACAGGTAGACTAATAACATGAGCTTGCTACAGGTAGGTGAATAACATGATCATGCTACAGGTAGTCCAATAGCATGATTATGCTACAGGTAGTCCATAATCATGCTACAGGTAGTCCAATAACATGATCATGCTACAGGTAGTTCAATAACATGATTATGCTACAGGTAGTCCAATAACATGAGCATGCTACAGGTAGTTCAATATGAGCATGCTACAGGTAGTCCAGTAAAATGATCATGCTACAGGTAGTCCAGTAAAATGATCATGCTTACAGGTAGTAAATAACATGGTCATGCTACAGGTAGTCCAATAACATCAGCATGCTACAGGTTGATGAATAACATGATCATGCTGCAGGTAGTCCAGTAACATGATCATGCTACAGGTAGTCCAATAGTAGCATCCAGTAGTCTGGAACACAAATTGTCCAAAGACTTTATCATCATAAATAGTGTATACACAATACTTAATTGGTCATGTGGCACATAATTCTAGCCTGCTTTGCACAAATAGACACAGTGATGTTGTTAATCCTCTTGCAAGCCTAGTTTGAAGTAGAACAGAAACCATTACTTAGAAATACATTGTTATGGCTAAAGCAATAATGAAATTTTACATACACATTTGAAAATAAATTGCTTTTGTAAGCATTTCAGTTCAGGTCCAAATTTCATTTCCTTTGAATGGAATTTATATTGATGACGTTACTGTGGTTGAATCGCCTCAAGTGGCTAATTTGTGTGTTTTTGCGGTTCATTGTGCCCAAGTTGTTATTCACTGATAATGTGTATTCATTCATATACAGTTACTACCCCCTAACAACATCCCTATTACATCCCCAGACATACTTTTATTAAGCTTCTTTCCTTAACATGGTCAGATGTGGCATTTTTATTAACAGTAGGCCATTACAATGGCCATTAACTGTATAACTTACTCCGGTACAAGTAACTCTATCCTTACCCATAGAAAGGCTCTCCCTAGGGGAGGTCTCTAGTGTGCTATTTACCTCTACTCCATTTTTTTTAACAGTTTTGTTTAAGTGATGTTCATTTTATATTTACATATATCAAAATTCATTGGTGCTATTAATTTATTGATGTATTCTTATTTATTGTATTTATATTCACTTGTTAAACCTCTTCAGTGAATTTTGACATCTCATCATGGGAATTGGAAATGACAATTTGTTTGCCAAATTTTTTATTGTGACGTTGTGCGGGATAGTATATAGTCTTTGGTTGAGCCAACTTCTGCTACATTTTTTTTCCATCTTGGAATATTCAAAGTGGATGTACTATAAACCTGCATGGCTGTTAATGTCCACTGTACTCTTGATTGACCTTAATTCCCTCAATTACGGTATAGATCTTGCCATATACCACAGAAACGATTTTTTGGCCACAATTATGGAATAATGATGAAAGTGGTTCTCAATATAGATAAGGGTACTGTATTTATTTGAAACGATAGAAGATTGGTTATTATTAGCATTCTTAGTTCAAGTAAAATATTGAATTAAATTTTAGTGAAACTAATATAACTCTTCATAGAGAATAGCACTACACTGTTCCAGGATTGAATCAGCCCCCACCCCCAAAAAGTACATTAAGTTGGTTTTATCTAGCATTCAATATTATAATTGTTTATAAATGTCTAACAAAGACAATAATTAAATATTAAGTAGTAAAATAATTTAATTTCCTGTTAAAAGAAAACAAAGATGCTATTGTTATTGTAAATTTGTACATACAAAATATTTCAAATTGAGTGCATACCAGACCATTATTATTTTACTAAAATTTTAAAATATGTTTAAATGATATTTAGTGTTGTTTGTGGATTTTTGTTTTTATCCTGTGATGAGCTTTCAGTTGCCAGTATCGTTTATCATAGATCTTGTAAAAAATCTATCAAAATTATTTGAATTCTGTGTGTGAATATAATTTATGTAAATGCTCAGACGAAAACGTGTGTTGACTATTGTTCAGTGATAGGTATTATTAAATTATTAATTTTAGTAAAATTTATATTCTTATTATATTATTGATATTATTATTACTTATTATTATTCTTTATTGCCAAGATACCATATAATATAAAGCATAGGGAATGCTGAAGTTGATAGAGTAGGCAGGAACCATACTCGAAGATAGATTTGATAATTTAATAAAGACAAATATACTTAATCTTTTAGTCATATACTCTAGTAACAATGTTCGTTGATTAGTATTATTTAATAGACAATAAGAGTGAGTTTAAGTTTCCAGAAAAAATTCACACTGTTTTGATTGAGCTCTGATCCTTGCGTGCTAATACAGTTTAATATATTTAAAAAGACAATTATAACACAGCTCATTTTAATAACAAAATATAGTAATTTACTATCTTGTTTTATTTCATTTTCATTTCATTTATTCGTCTCAAAAAATACAATTCACATAAAATATCATACACAAAAAAGACGGAGAGACAGGAAATCCAAAAAGAGAACTAAATCAACTGTCAAGTGGATTACCTAACAAAAAAAAAACAAAACAGACACAAAATATAAAAATATAAATTATTATTTTTCTTGTTTTTGTTTTCTGTATCTGTGGTTCATATAGTAGAGAGGTCTTGCAAACTTATGAAAACGATAACGAATACGATTACATCAGCATATCTGTCACAATGTAGGCCATGCATGTTTTTAAGTTAATCAAAGATCATAGTCAGCTCATATATGCATTGTCAACAATGTTGTAGGCTCGAATTATGATCATGACGATGACGTTTTTCTTATTGTTTTCGTAAGTTTGTGAATTCTCCGTGATATTTGCTGTTCCTTGGTATTGAATTCCATCCTTAAATGTAGTATGGTAATACAACTGCAGTTCATGTATGTATGTATTAGTCAAATAGTTTATTTTATATTATTTACTAAAGGCTCAATTTGTAAATCAAAATGTCTATTCAGAAATATTTATATATGTATATAAGTGAGACAAAATTATAATTTATATCATATTGTTGCTTTTTGTTGTGAGTGAATATGTTCCAGTTTCACATGTATTGATTAAAGTGTTTCCTCGGCCACTAAGTCGGTTTGCGTGGTCTAAAATCTTGGTGGCCCTGTTTCATCCGCTTTAAATGTATTTATCATGTGTACTGTATTAAGCATAAAACAAATGACTCTTAATGAATTCAGTAGCATTGTCTTAAATCAAAACTATTAACAAGTATTTTGGTAGTAAATTTTAATTCCCATTTGATATAAATTTAATGTAATGATTTCCTTCCCAAGCAACAGTACTGTGATTTTACTCAATTGGTTATTTGTGTTATGACACTGGTGCTGTGTAAACTAAATCTCATTTGTTTAGGTGTTATAAATATTACTACTTTGGGATCAAACCATTGATAACGGTATTCAAAAGAAAGCACCTTACAAGTCAACTCCCATGTTTAATGATGATATAAAATTAAATACACCATCAAGAATATACTATGGAAGTATGTATATAAACATTTGGTCAGATATTGATTAATAACCAATGTTACATCAAATTTATTATAAAAACTTATTAGGTAAAGTGGATGCAGGCTAAACATAAGAATTAGTATTAATAGTGCATTGTGAAGGGGTAGATGGATTATACTACCAATGGATGCTGAGCTCTTTCCGCTGTCATCCATAGGGTGTTGTGTCACCTACTGTAAAAATACTACCAAGGAGTGTTGATTACCCTACTAATAGACAGGGAGGGCAATTGGGCCTTTCCCTCATCAAGGAACTGTTAAATCCTTTAATAAGCCCTTCTAGATCTCAAATACATCTGCTTTCAGATTACAAAACTAGCATGAGAATATATGTAATTCAAATGAATTCTAAATAGTTTGGTGTATTACAGCAGAGCTCACTAAAATTACTATAAGTTTTATATAAATATTAATATGTATTTCAAATATTTATCTTCATTGATCTATCAAACATTATTTTATACCAAAGGCTATGAAATTTGATCCATTAGAAATAAGCTATCATTTGTTAAATAACAGTAGATTAATTTAATATTATAGTACAAGAAATGTCAATAGAGGTATAACTAGAAACTGATGATATTTTTGTTAATTGTTTATGTTCAATATGTGCAATTGTTCTACTTATGAGTATGAGAACTGTCCATATGCTATCCATGTGCATGGAAAGAAAAAAAATGGCAATTATTTATTCAACAATATATCATTTGGGAAGTCCTTACAGCATTGCAAACCCAAGTGGCCAACAACAAATACAATTATTACATTATAATATAAACCTCTGTCCACAAAAAACTCTTTTATGCCCATAATTAGGTAGTTTGGACAGAGCTTTAAAATAATATAATGATGCAATAAAAGTAATAATCCTTTTGAGTTTTTGGAGGAAAATATTAATATCTGTTATAAGACTAATGTGTGCTAACTTGAAGGAAAATGTGTATTTGACGCCAGGTACACCACAAAATGAGTGCGCCCTCATGCTTAATTGGGGCAGGATTTGATGGAGCATCATCACATGACAGTGTTATTGCACATATTTAAAAGTGTCATCTCGCATTTTCAAAATCTGTGCACTGTAAAACAATTTGTGCTGTTTAAAATTTTTGATTGAATGCATTTTTTGAGTTAGCACAGTATTCTTATGATATCTCTATGGTTATAGAGGAATACCTTGTCATATGCTCATTTTCTTTGTTTATAGATATTAATATTTGTGTTATATTTGCAAAAAAATTTCAAACGGAAATGAAGAGAAATATACAGACAAGCTTGGATTATGCGCAATGTCAAGGTGTTTGTAAATAAAGAGAGTTGGAATTGGTAGTCCATTTTGAACTGCAACATCCATGAGTGGCGGGTATCTGTATGTTATTGCCCTTTTGATTGAGGGAAGTTTCTTTACCAATTTGATGTTTTAAAAGTAGATATGTAACAACAATTCTCATGTTCCTAATTGTACCCAGTACATAACATTTTGAGGGAATAAAACCAAGCAATGACAGGTTCTTTTTTTTTGTTTGTCTTGTCACTGAATACGTGTAGTATATCATATACACAAATATAATAATATAATATGGCATGAAATGGGTATACTCTTTATATGTATAGTATTATAGAGAAACCAATTATGTTGCATAATTAACATAGGAAAAATTTCCTATCAGTTGTATGAAAGAAATGCTCTGGAGGTTTTTAAAATTAAATAAAAATAATACTAATAATTAAATATTAGGATTATAGAAACGTACTGATGTAATTCGGTCATGGGGGCCTTCCATACTTTGAGAGGAAATTATAGTCCCGTCTGATTGGCTGAAACTTCTTTGACGCAACACAGAGGTGTTGTGCACCAAAACACGTTCACAAAGAAGGTAGGCCTAGCTTAGACTTACTCTTTAACTATACATTTTGACTTATACAGTACATTTAATATCTATGGTAATATTATACTGATTTACATAACAATCTAATGTTATATATTGGACAACTTCAGGCCTATGAACCAAAACAAGGGGATCATCATCTCCTAGCTAGGCAAGGCCAATGTTATTACAGTATAGTTAGTTAGCCTAGCCTGAAAAATAGTTGGTCAACAGACTGTATGATCAAGGCCTATGTAACAAAATCTACCTTGGCCTACTATCTAGGCCAGACCTACTTTTAAGAAATAAAGGTTGAAATAAGTCATATAAATTGTAGCCTAAATGAAGCAATAGTATAACAATTTGCATGAATTAGGATATATTAAGATTATTTATGGACATGAATCTGGCTAAGTGTTGTGTATATATATAAGATACAACTGTCTTCTTTTCTGATTTTGTGTAGGCCTAGGGTCTATAGCCAATGTAAACTATACACTGTATTGTATGTAAAATATATGTTGGTGTCTATATTAAGCTTGTCCAAGATCACAATGCAAAATTAAGGTCCTCAAACTTCTGGAATTCGGGATTCGAAACCTACTTTGAAAAACTGTAACAACATAGCCTACATCAGTCTCGATCTCCCAAAGTGAGTATCGATCCATATTTCAGATTAAGAAAAAAATAATGACTTTTTCCGTTGTTGTTCCTGACGATATTTTAATGCTTACATAAGTACTTCCTCATTCCCAAGCTGTGTCTTAGCCATTTGTTTTGCAGTTCTATATGGCAAAAAGGACAACTTTCAAACACAGTCGGTTAGGCGAGACTTTTTTATACCATGTTTAGCGAACCCAAATGTTGATTATTTCAAATAAAAATAAAATGTTATTTTTGGCCAATTAGCCAAACTAAAACTATGAACAGGGCCGTGATGTGAACACTCCTTTCTTGGCCCCTGGGCATAAATATATAAATTGAACTAAAGTCATTTCTGTTACTGTAACAAAGTCAGTTTGTCTTTATTGAATTAGCTGTGCTCCATTGAAGCAGTTGTCACCCTGTCTCCACTCACTGGTGACATAATTGAGAACCCATGTTCAAAGCACACTTAATACAGACTACACAACAAATTATCTGTGTACCATTTATCTCCAGAGCTACAAACTAGATTCTAAATCCTCAATTTACAAAAATACATACACAATCTTTTCTCAGATACATTTTAAAGATAGGATAAGCTTACTAGGAAATACATGAAGGTATGATAATTTTTTCACAAGTTGCTAACAATTATATATATATGTAAAAAAAATATAGCAAATTAGTACGAGTACGGTATGTAACAAAAAGAATGACAAGAAACATTTGATTCAGTGAATTTTAGTATACTTTTTAAAAACATTGGCATTAACATTTTTCATTGAGATGTTAGCATAAATTCAAAAAACACTGATAAAACCTCCTTGATATAACCATATACAGAGAAATAAAAAAAAATACATAAATAAGGAAAGGCTATTCTATTATATGATCTTACACCCCATAACTGCAGTTCCATCAGGCGTCAATTATATTTTTCAAAACTTGTTTACATACCATATAGGAGTCAACAAATAAGTATTTGATTTACATACTGACTATTGAGGAATAAAAAAATTGATTCCCATTTCTTCTAATAATCACAATGCAAATGCTTTTCATTATCTGCCTAATTACTATACCAGACATTCTCAAAAATGCTGACAAAATTAATTAACATTCAGTGGAGATCCAGAGATATCTGAAAGGGGAGGGGGGAAGTGGGACCAACAACACATATAGTTCTCATTTCACCTCACTGCAAGTAGTTTTTGTAAATTATTAAATTTAATATTGAGAGCTTATTTAGTAATATTAAGAACATAATAATTAAATTGGCTAGGATTTACATAATGTACAGCCATACACAAAGCGAGGTTCCCCAGTGAGATGTCTGAGATCCGCGATCTTGAAAGACACCCACCTCCAACCCACTATTGTTGCAGCAAATTTTAAGAACAGACACTGTAAATAGCACTCTAATACAGTAAATATTCTTTTTAAGACAGGGTTCCACAATTGGGGGTCCCGTGCCCCGGAACACCCAATAATGCATAGTGTATGCAAGTATGCATTGTAATTCATTGCATCATTCACTTAGGAAAACATTACTAAAAATATGTTGTTAAATGGCTCCTAAATGTAACCATAGTATGTATCATCAGTACGCATATTAAACAAAGACTTGCATATGCTGTTAACTACACAGTAATAACAACTAAAGTGAAGAGCATTTTAATTAAATACTGTTATAAATCAGCCCAGCAATATAATTCAATTCAAAACTAATATAGAAAATTACCACGTCTGAGTCTAAATATTTTATATCTTCCAGTCTTATTAGTTATGAATATATATTTCATTTAATAGGAATTTTATATCAACCACTTGAAAGCAAATACAAAAAAAAATTTCTCTCCCTTATTCTTACATTGGGCCGCCACCTCTTAATTACTTTCACAATCTAAAACGACCAGAAATTTATGAAAGAAGTCATTGGCTTTAAATAAATACAAAACTGTATAAAACATTGTAGAGTTAATTTTTAATTTCATTTCAAAGAGGTAATTTTATTTTACTTCAAATAAAAAAAATTGTTGGATGTTAACTCCCATTCTCTTATTAACAATAATATAACCTTGAGGTCAGGAGTTCGAAATTCTCTGTGCAAATCGTTTGTATCCTTGGACAAGGCACTTTATATACGGTTGCCTCTCTCCACCCAGGAGTACAAGTGGGTAGCTGGTAGGTTTGAACACAACTGCACCGATTACTAGCTGCAATATTATGGAATTCTCCCCCAGGGAGCTGAGTATGTGTTCCATACGTGTTTGATCCAATGACCGGGGTAGTCTTATGTTTAGTGCATTGAGAGCTTGCTTATGTGCGCTATATAAGAATGAATATTATCATTATTATTATTACAACAAAATTATATAAAAGAAATAACATAACAATGGACATTTACATAGCACCTTTTTGTCTACAGATGCAAGGCATTTGCAAACTTCCAGGTCACTAGATTCAAGAAATTATATAATGTGCAACCGCCATCACTCCTTTGGGAGTATTCCAGTCATGTTGCACTGCGGAAAATCCATTACACACACACTACTTCACTATCCTATCAGGTACTTATTTAGCTCATGGGTGGAGAGAGGCATGGCGAGAAAAAGTGCCTTGATGAATAAAACAGACTCAGATGCGACCCCCAATATCTCGATTGGAAGATCAAAGGCTATGCCATGGCTCCTATATTACAGTTAAACTTGTCTGAGTGGACTTTGCCTAACTCGAATGATAATAATAGTCGGTCTTATTTTACATGCCAAGTTGTTGTGTTTTCCATTAATTAACAATCTGTAAGTCAAATTTTATCTAAGTCAAACAATTTTTCAAAATCATTCAGGCAAGTTCAACTGTACATAGTAACAAAATATAATAATCAATACATAATAATAATAATAATAATAAGAATAATAATAATATAATACAAATTATTTTGCTAATGATAAATCATAACCATAATGATATAATGCTAAAGTTACTGTCACCACATGTATGTACAGTATCTGACCATAATATTAATTTTTGTGCAATTTTGAAAACAATAATAGATAGCGATAGTATATCAGTTACATTTAAAAAGCAAACCTGTTAACAATTAGATTATTGTAATACATTTTACTAATTGTGAATGAAATACCATTTAAGTATGATTTGTGAGAATAGCATTAGCCCTGCAGCACACTAACATGCATGCAATCCCTACCATTAAATTACAGATTAAATGTCAATTGTCATGATATAACCTATGCCTACAAAGCATGATATTCTCACATTAACCCCTACAAACAAAATTACAAAATCAATTAACCTATTTTGCATTACTGTTTGAAATGTGTTATGTATCATATCAGTCTTAAAGGGACAGTCATGAGTTATTAAAGGGAAAATTGCATATGCTTATGACTATGAACACAATACATCTCTTCCCCTCTCACTGTTCACACAACCATCCCTCAATGAAAATGAGGACATCAAATTAGATATTATGGGAGTCCATGCTAATCTGATGTGGAGGTAATATACTGGGACTAATTTTGAAGAGGAGACAATCAAAACTTATTTTCACATGGCCTTATCATTACGGTAATAATAATATACCAGCCAAATACTAGTTAAAAATTTCTGGAATAACAATAAAAATTATGACTATTAATATTATCAATATAATAATTATTAATACTAGTATTATGCAAAAAATAATAAAATATTTATAGAACACAAATACACCACAAAATGTAAACGATCTACAAAAAAAAGAAAAAAAAGAAAAGAAAAACATTTTACTATATCACAGTACTATTATGATACAAAAACCCCTAAGACATAAAAAATATGTGAAACCATTCAGGCTACAATTGAGGCATAGCAACATCAATAAAATAATTATACACCTTAGAATTTGTATACTGTACTTTCTCTTGAAAACCCTTAACGTTATTTATTTTTATTTATTTATTTATTTCAAAATTCTTATATGGCGCTCTACAAGGAACAGTGCGCCTTAAAAAAATTACATTTTAAAAGCTCTACTCTTAAGAAAAGAAACGTACTGTATTAAGTCAACATTTGAATAGAGGTGCCGACTCCGTTTCTCAATTAGATTAAACCATCAATTAATAACTTGTCAACATTCAAAGGCACAGAGATAAAAAAAACAATTCAATTTTGTTGATTTTCAGACCTTTTATTTCTTAAATTGAGTAGGGGCAATCCATAATTTTCAACATTTATAAAAGTGTATACAACAAATTCCTTTTTTGTGACCCCCCACCCCCACCCTTCTCTCCTCCTGAAAGAGTACAAAATAAAATGTTGATTTGTGTCATTTTGAGATCATCATTTCATCTTTCATAAAAGAGAACTTATGCCTACACTTTCAACCCCTTCCTCCCCTATAACATGTTTGTATGCTTTTGAATATGTTGAAAATTGTGGATGGCCCATACTGTACTTGCCAATTTAAGGGTCTATGCAAATAACATAGGAATGCTACCACTTTCCACTTGTCTGACGAGGAAAGCATTTTCTTGCTGAACACAAACAGTATATCTTTAAGAACAACATTAGTGGCAAGCGTAACATTGGAATAAACATTTAAACATCAAAATACACTAAATGTGTTCAAGTTGGTGGGAAGCTTCCATTCTGTAGAGAGGGGTGTCCAGGTACAGACATTTGGTAAGCTTGTGACATTCCAACAGGTGGTTGCGTCCCAACCTTTAACACAAAAAAAATATGAGTGTTCAGAAAACTCTAATTAACCACATTTATTATTTGTTGTTAATCATCCTTTTATTACAATTAACGACCTATCATACATAGAAAGTACTGCTCCACGTACACATAATTTTTATTTTTATTTCATAAAATCTAAATTTTATTTTCTTTTAATTTATTAAGCTACAATACATTATTTTGTTCAAAACCAAGTACTTTAAATGTATAATTGAATATTACCATATTTATTTGAATAAACGCCCGACTTTGAATAAACGCCCCCTCTAAAGCCTCATTTGGAATAAACAGCATTTATTTTTTCCTTGAATAAATGACCCCCTAAATGAATGTAAACAAATCTAATGGAAGTAACATCATTCTCAACATATTCCAGTAGAATTACATTTTTTCTAACCTGGTTTGCATCAATAAGTCTTTATGATCACGCAATAACACTTGACTGTAATAATGTGTTGTAGTTCCACATTTAAAATGAAATTAAGGGGCATTTATTTGAGTATATACCTATCCATTTTTCACCAAAAACAATGAACACATTCCTCGAATAAATGCCCTTCTTCAAAAAACCCTTATCAACAATAAATTCCACAGAGCGTTTACTCAAATAAATACGGTATATGAATTCTTGCAATATTCTTACCTGAAAAACAGGCTGTGTTTGATACAACTGTTGGTGTTGGTTCCAATTCAGGTGGGCTGGAGGGTATTGTAGACTGCTCAGCTGCCTATTGCCTGCATGTTGCATGCTGGCTGTTGACTGCCTTATACTGTCTTGATTTTGGTGTAGACTACTTAATGGATGCTGTAGCCTGGGTTCAGGGTGTCTGACCTCACTTTGATGTAGCCTGTTATCCTCTGAGTGTTGTAACCTGGCATCCAGGTGCTGCATTCTAGCCTCCGGGTGGTGGAGCCTGCTGGCCTCAGGGCGCTGCTGCTGACTGACCTCTAGGTGGTGTAGCATGGCCTGAGGGTGCTGTACTCTTGTCTCCTGGTGTTGGAGCTTGGGCTCATGGTGCTGTTGTAGCTTGCTGGCTTCCTGATATTGTAGACTGGTCTCCTGGTGCTGTAGCCTGTTGGACTCATGATTCTGTAGCCTGGCATTTGGGTGCTGTAGCCTGGCTTCTGGATGCTGTAGCCTGGATTCTGGATGCTGTAGCCTGGCTTCTGGATGCTGTAGCCTAGCCTCATGGGGTTGTGTCCTGTCCTCAGGGTGCTGTTGTCTGGTATCAGATTGATGTAGCCTGGCATCAGAATGATGTAGCCTGTTATCCATGTGCCATAGCCTTGCATCATGATGCTGTAGCCTTGTATCAGGCTGTTGTAGCTGAGCATCAGGAAGCTGTAGCCTGTCGTCAGGGTGCTGGAGCCTGTCGTCGGATTGCTGTAACCTAGAATCAGGATGCTGTAGCCTAGTATCAGGTTGGTGTAGCCTACCATCAGGTTGCTGTAGCCTGGTATCAGATTGCTGTACCCTGGTATTAGTTTGATGTAGCCTGGCATCAGGATTCTGGAGCCTGTCGTCAGAGTGCTGTAGCCTGTCCCCAGTGTGTTGCTGAATGGAATCTGAGTGCTGTATGCTCCCTGAAAGATGAGGTGTGAACCTTGAATCATGCTGCATAGGTTGAGCACTTCTTTGGAGATGGTGAGGTGCTGGATTTTGCAGTATCCCTTTAAGCTGGGTAAAGCTATGGGAAGTGTCTGCAGACCCACTGTGATTTATTGTCAGACTGTTTGGCAGTAACACCCTATTCATCATCAAAGGTGAAGTGTTGAAAGAGTTTATTCTACTAACTTCAGGGGACAAGATATGATTGATAGAAGTAGTTGGGAAGTTAGATTTCTTATCTTGAATTGTGTCCATATCAATCAAATCTTTTAAGTCAGAATCCTCATGCACAATGGAGCGCTGAGCCTCAGGCTTTGATGCAACATAGACTTTTTGGTGAGGCTGCATAACAGGCTTTGCGACATAAATGTCAGCCATGCTGCTTTGTGAATTTACTTGAAGAGCAGAGTAACCTATATTGGATGATTTTATTTGAATGGTCTTCTCTATACAATGATCATTGCCTGGTTCTTGCGGCTTGTTTGAGTTGTTTTTAACGGCTACAACACCAACTTCTTCTGATTGTGGTGCATTATTTGGTTGAAAAGTGATTACAGACTTTCGATCTTGAATGGCCGCTGCTTGTTGGCCTTCTTGCTTTTCTACTAGTAATTCAGAACAGGATGTTTCTGGTTGATGGCCTGAGTGGGAACTATTTAATGAACGAACATCATTTTCAGTGAAATCATTAGCTTGCTTTGTAGTTGAAAGTGGCAACAATGTAACAGTTGATTGTGGTAAAGACTCACTACTAATACTAGAGGTACTTGGAATGGAATGAATTGGATTTAGAAGTTTAGTGTTAACTGAATGACCGGAGCCTAATGGCACTTCAGTGTTGCCAGTTTTAAGTTGAGCGATTTTCCCTACTTCATCAACACTAACTTGTTTTGACTTAACTTCATCTACTTTAATTTTATCATCATGAATGTTTTCCTGTTCTGGTTTAGCCTGTTGTACATTTTCTGGTCCATTTGATACAAATGAACTATGGCTAAGAATTTTATCTGCTTTTTTAGTTTTTAATTTGGAGTTTAATTTTGATTGTTTTGTTCCATCCGCAGCAATGTTTTTCATCTCCTGCTTCAAGCGATTACCTTTACTGAGAATTGCTGGTACTGCTTTTGAAACTGTTGTTGGTGTAAATACTGTTGATGGTAGTGATACAGGCGTATTCACCACAAAAGAATTTTTCTCTGCCTCCTTAAGACGTTCAGTCTTTGAACGTACTTTAGGATGTTTTAAGAAAGAACTGAGATTGTTTTTCAATGAACTGTGATCCTCATATACTTCTGGATCTTTCTTCACTGATTGTCCATTTTTATCCTCTTTTTTAGTTTCCACTCCTTCGGTTTTTGAAACTGCAACTGAAGACTGACTAGCCACTTGATTTTTTCTCTTCTCATCCTCATCTTCCAATTGGGTAACATCCTTTGTACTTGCTGATTGAGTCACAGGCATTAACGGTCCTCGTTCTTCAACAATCTTCCCATCAACAACGCGCATCACACTCATATGGCTACAGGTTACTCCATATGTTGGATCCGCATTGAACATACCACGATTGCCATAAAAATTCCTTAATGCATATGCTCTACTTAAGTCGTCTCGAGAACTTTCTTCGCCATCCATGGCATAATTTACACGTGGCATTCGTTGGGGACGCTTTTTAGGGCTTTTGGCCTTGCCTTTAAATTTCTTCTCAGATGGAAAGTAATTATCATCTTCAGATTCACTTTCTTCAGAAGTGTCTTCACGAAATGATCCAAACACCTTTTTATCAAGCTCCTCTACAGTTTTGCGGGTTCTTGAGGAACGACTTGATTTCCTTGGTTCACTATTTTCACTCATAAAAAATTCATCATCAAAGAAATCAATATCATCTTCAGGGAAACATCTTAGCATCATTTTTGTAAATACAACTTCCAGAGTTCGAGCCATTTCAGTGTACTCTGAAAGAAAAGAACAACATAATATACAAGTGTATGTCTTTATTTTGTGTCAAGATACATTGTCAATGATGGGCTAAAAATAACAGTCGCATAATGAATTACCATTAAATTTGTGGACACTGCATTTTCTACAGAGGCCTGTGTGTTTTGGCACTATTACTAGACCTAACTTATAGTTGTCTTGTTTAACATTAATTTAACAGTGAGATGGGGAGCAATGATGTCCTTCATTGGAAAAAAATCATCAGTATCTACAGAAGTTTTAGTTCACTTTAGTTAAACATTGTGAAAATAAAACACTGGTACAGCACATTAAGGCTACTGATGGCTGTACAATTTCTATATATATATTTATTGTTAAGGCAAATTTTACAGATTTTAAGTATTATTTCAATTGCTCATTATTATTTTATGTGTAATCGGAATAGTGCATTAGGAGACCTACATGATAGTGATTTGGTTCACACTTTTAGGAATCCTGTCTCGGCCTGATTTTTTATGCTTTTATTTTGTTGTATTGCAACCGGTTGTTGTTTTTTATGTATTTTATTGAGACAAAATAAATGAAATGAAATACCTCAAAATTTGTCCCAGCAAGAGATATGATCATAGAACTGTATGCCAATGCTGCTGGCTGGCTAAAATGCACTTAACTGTATTTAATTGTGTTTTTCATACATGTTATTGTATTTAATTATTCATCCTTACCACTTTCAGATCCATTGTATGTTTCACAGTTTTCAAACATCAGATGCATGTCATCAACAAACTAAAAGAAAGAATAATTAATGATTATAAATTAGTCACTAGGTTATACTACATAATCTTGCGAGCCAAAGCGTCTCTCGGTGAGCTTAAAGCCGGGTACTCACTGCGTTGTACGACTGTCGGCTGACTAATATAACTCCGCTCCCTGTAAGCGTTAAACGACGCAACGCCGTCTGCTGATTGTTAGCGACAGTCTGAACGGATCGTCATTAATAATGATCAGTTGCGCACGCGTTGTGGAGTTGCGTTCTCCATAGAACTGTGTCGGCCTACGACCGCCAGGTGCAGCAAGCATCCTGCTTAACAATAGACCTTTCCGGAGTGTCAATCAAACTTAGCAACTGACCAATCAGAACAGCACTAGGAATGCGCGCGCATCTCACAAACACGTGTTGTCCCACAAACGCACGTGTTTGCGTATGTTTTAACACTGCCGCCTTGTGGGACCTTAGCAACAATATCCAAGGGGCGGGGCTTAGTGGAAAGGTCAGGTGACCAACCTCAGACTTGCTTGAATACTGCTTTTTGTCCAGCTTTTCCTCCATCGTCCCAAGGTCCATCGGCTTCTCGATATATTCAAGGTATTTCGGGGCATACTCCTCATTTACAGGTTCCAGGAATGGCCAGGAATTGGAATGGCGTTTGACAGCATCAAGGACTATGACAAAATAAGAAAGTGTATTTACATTTCATATATTTAGATATTTTAACATTCTTTTTTGTGTCTGTTCAGCAAATGCTGATCAACTGAGACCCAACTCTGGGGAGACTAGAACTAAACATACCAAGAATATCTTGAAATAATTTCACTTGGATCCAATAGTAGGCCTATAATTTATCTTGAGATTTTCTTCTTGGATCATTTTTGCGAAACATAGTATGTGGGTAAATTATATTTTCTTTTATTGAATCAATAAAAAGAGAAAACCTCAAGATAGTTATTAACAGGAATAAAAAGAATCGAAAAGGAACAAATAATATAAACTTTACAATAATGTATTAACTACAATAACACAAAGTACATTTACATTATATATGTTAACACTTAACATAATAATAATATTTTACCGTATATTAATTAAATGAAATACCCAATGTGGGTGTTATACACCAGAGTAAAGATATTCCAACAATCACAACATAATTGTTCATAAAACTAACTATAAGCACAGAGATATTATGCTATACATGAAATAATTTGATGAAATAAATATAATCATAGATTAAAAAACATTACAAATTACAAATTAAAACAAACCTTTATGCATGCTTATGTACAGAGAATCAAATTCATCATCTCGAACCCCAGAAAATTTTGGTTTCTTTGGTTTTGGTGTTGGCGACACAGAAGGAGCTTGAGGTATGGTCATTAGTTCCTTCGGTATCGTCTTACCCTCGGCTATAAGTCGGGCTCTTTCCTCTCGCAACTGCACACGTTTTGCTCGATCTTTTTAGAAAACAATAATGGTGTTTAAAAAATTGATTTCAAACTACAGGTTTATACAATAATGGGTAATTTTGTTGAAAAGATATGTAGAGAACTTTCTGGTGTAGATTCATATTACCAAAATTCACAATTTGCTTATGAATTATGCAGGAATGTACTTTTCAGAAACCAATACATTTTCTCCTTTGTACATATTTTTTGTTTTATTTAAAATCAATTCATTTCACAAAAGGAAGTAGACAAACAAAAGCCTAGACAGTGTTGGAATAAGAGACAACACCAGTGAGTACAAAATTACAATAAAAATCAGAGGAAACTTAAGATCAAAAGAATAAATTAAAACAAAACTATTTTAATTTATATTATATTTACCTTCTTTTGCTTTCTTAGCTTTTTCTTCCTCTTCTTCTTTCCTCCTCTTTGCTTCCTGCTCTTCTAAAATTTGCAATTCTTTTTGCTGCAGTCGATTTCTGTGACGCCTCTCATTGCAGCTGAACTTATCCTCCTCTTGGTGTCCTTCAGTGTCAGAATAACCCTCAATGTAATCATCCTAAAATTGTGAATATCCACCAAAATATAAATTAGAATTTGATAGCTGGCAACATATCCTAATTCCCTTTACCACAGGGATGTAAAGGTAAAATAGATTTGAGCAGTTGCCGGTGACAACTGCATCCCCTCACCCTCTACCCACCACCCTTGGTGTTGGATTATCCTACAATGCCTGTTTTCGTGTCCCTGGGCAACAGACAGGAAGACAAACCATTATCCCCATAATCTCACTCCAATGAGAATCTCACTCCTAACTCGAATAATTTCTAAGTTGATCTTATTTTACATGCCAAACTGTTGTGTTTTCCATTAATTAGTGATCTGTAAGTCAAATTTTATTTAAGTCAAATGATTTTTCAATGCCATTTTAGATTTGACAATTCAAGTTCAACTGTATAGACAACAGGGTTCACAGAAAGGTATATAGACAGTACAGCAGTGATGTGAAAGTACAAGGAGATATGTGGATGGCCAAATAGTGCAACTGTACATCACCTCCTCAGTTCTCCGCTGCATCTTTTCTTGGATGCGGCCCGATGTCCTCCTAGGGGCCATTTCTAACAACTTCTTACGCAAAGCTTTTTCCTGATAAAGACAATAATGTTTGCAAAATAACTAATTAACTGATAAATCTCATACAAATACTCATGAATATCATTCATACTAGTACCCAATGAATCTGATTTACACTTAATACTCATGGATCACATTCACACTACTACTCATAGATCCCATTCACACTACTATTCATAGATCCCATTTACACTACTACTCATAGATCCCATTCACACTACTATTCATAAATCCCATTTACACCACTACTCATGGATCCCATTTTCACTACTACTCATAGATCTCATTCACACTAATACTCTTGCATCCCATTCACACCACTACTCATCCCATTCACTGTACTGCCTACTATAAATTATATTCACACTATATACTCAGCATAAAAACCAGGATATAAGGTCTATTCACCTTTTCATGATTGCAGACAGACTACAAATTAAATACCTTTTGATTATAGAGATCAACCATTACAGGTAGGAAGTCATCAGCAAGTGCTCGATAGAGTTCTTTCTCGTTTTTGCTCTTCGTCTTCTTAAACTTCTGAGCCAGGATCTCCCAGTCATCCTGCGTGTCACAAACAAGATGCCAACGAGGTGGCTCCAAATCATCATCACTATCACTTTCACTGGACACGGTCGTGCTAGTGGTCGGTGTGTCTTGGCTGTTTTCTTCCGTACAGCTGTCATTTTGGTCTACCTCCAAAGCCTGGTCACCAGCATTCTTCTTGGCCAACTTAATTTTTTTTAGTTTTTCTTTCTCTTTTGCTCTTTCTTTTGCCTTTTCTCGTCTCTTCTTACGTTTTTCCTTTTCCCTAGACACATTGGGCAAAAAAAATTCTTTTTTACAATACAACATGTATTGATTAAATTTCAAATTAAACAACACCTCATACCATCCTCATAAGGTTCCAAAATGATTAGTTTCAAGATATATAGTTTTAGTACAAAGTAAATTTTAATTTGAATTATTACCTCTTTTTTCGTAATTCCTCTTTTTCTGCTTTTGTCAACTTTTTGGTTTCCTTATATAGCCGTGTTCCGTAAAAATACCAATATTTGGCGCCCTCGCTGTCAGAGCCAAGTGGTTCAATCCTCATATGCTCACCAACGGTACCCTGAAACATAAAATAAAAAGAATATCTTTAACAACAACAACCATCATGATTGTTGGTAAATTAAAAATGTTAATGGTAATTAATACCTTGTCAACATGATTGACACATTAACTTATTCATGTTTGGGGCTAATGTTAACATAGCAATAGGGGCCTATAATAATATGAATATATCAATGTCTGAAAGCTTATGATTCAACAACCAAGACATATTCATGTTTGGGGCTAATGTTGCCTGGTAGTTAAAGAATAATAATTTGAATATTAAGGAATGTCTGATAGCTATTGACCTAACAACCAAAAGTTTTATGAACTGATTGAACCCATTTTTATGTACCTTCAATAAATCCGAGACATCCTCAGCATCGAGTCTATAATCACACAAGGCATGTAAAAGTTCTACTTTGCTTAGTGTTGGTAAGGAATGATATGTGGTGTCTTCGCTGTTTAAAGGGTTCACACGCGATTCCTCCATCTCCCAACGATGTTTCATTATGTCACGAAGGTACTTGTCATAATTTGAAGAGCTAAAAGCAAGAATTGATTAGATTAATATTGTTGCATAGCTACAGGTAGGCCTACTTTGAATGTAAGTATATAAGATGCTGTGAAAAAATTCAAACATTCAACTGTAACCCTTATTTCATATACTGTATGTATTCCAATAAATGCCTTTGAATAAATGCCACTTTGAAAAAATGCCCCTCCATATACAGGTATATATATTTTTTCCTCGAATAAATGCCCTCTAAATGACTGTAAACGAAACTAATGGAAGTAACATCATGGATTGATCTTATCAACATTGATCACACATAACCGCAATTTTTTATAAAGACAAGCCTTACTTGATGTCCTTTCGTCCGTAACATCCGAAAAGGATTCTTGCCAGAAGATTCTTGAGGAAATCGTTAGGGTCATCTTGGGTATCAGAAACTAAGGCCTCTTCCAATTCCTGTTTTGCAAATAAATAAAAGATGGAAACATTAATTCTAGAACAATCAAATCTTTTCTGCAAGTCTTAAATTTTATTGCATTGGTCATTTCAAACATTCTTAGAAGTGCGAAAGCACATTTTAGCACCAATCTTATTTTTATTTTATGAGTTCTGTGAGTATTGACATGGTTTGATAACAGGTTTCATATCAGCAACCTCAACTTTTATTTCTTTCAATTGTATTACTATTAGAAAAATGAAATGAAACAGCAAAATAACTGCATGGAAAAACCACTGTGCAGCAGTTTTTGTATCACTGAGTGATATCGCATCAACACTTAACATATTTTGAGCAAAGTTCTCTGCTTAATAATAACATTAATAGGGAGCTTGCGATTGTATGAAGGCAGTAGGAACTAGAATGTAATTACTTTACATAAAGTCATCTGCGCATCCCAACGTTGAGTTTTCGTTGTCGTCTCAATTCTAAAATGCCGTAGGGCCCCGAGTCACAGAAAGTGAATCCGTTCTCATGGATGCGTACGTCGTTGTACATATCGATACCTAGCCTATATATTCACTTGTGGAAAATGAAGGACAGGTCTGACGGCGAGTAATGGCCCCAAGAAAGGTCATAGCTATCTGCATGCTTGTAGGCTATTGCTCAGTCAACAAGTCCAAGGCAATGCAGTTCAAGTTCATGTAGGCTATATAGGCCTGGCCTATTTATTAATTCATCTGAAACCTAAGGCCTAACAACAGTCAGTAACAACAAACAAAAGCTTGGCTTGGCCTATAATAATAACCCAATTAAGAATATATATACTCTACCCCCATAACTACATCATCTGTAACAGTAAGATACATAAATGTTGATAAGCTGGACTCCTCTAGCTAGGCCTAGGCCCAGCTAGCTTAGGCCCTAGGCCAACAGCTAAACATGTATGAATGAGTGGATATCGCTCTTCCTCACCTCTATCTCAAAATCCGGCAACCCAAACTTAGCTCTAAATAAGGAACAAAAATGAGCAATTGTTGGCACTTTCCACCAAGTTTGTATTTCTACCAAAGAGGCTCTTCCCTTTTTTGTATCGTTAGCCATATCACCTAAGACCGAAACACTTGCAGATCAATACATTCATTGACCAAAATTAAGTGCTTCCTTTCGGCCGAATTTTCTAAACATTCATCTTTCCTCGTTTTCTCGCCGCCGGTGGTGTCTGGAGTCGAGTCTGCACGGTGCGTGACGAACAAAAAGGTAGAGACTTTTTACGCCAGACTGAATTGCTATATCATTAATATTCATGAACTGGGTGACCTCTGACTTGCTGAGATGATGATGACAAGAGCGATCTTGTAACGGTACTTCGAACGAAATATTATTTCGTTCCCTCGAAATAATATTTCGTCCCCTCGAAATAGTTTAATATTTTTTCTAACCATGTCCCGTTAGGGGCTCCGTAATATCACAGAAAGACCACAAAAAAAAAAAAAAAAAAAAACCCCAAAAAAACTTGTGTTGGCCACGTTTTGGGAAAATTACAAAATTGGGTGGGTTGGTAGGAAAACTTTTTTTTTTTAATTTATTTTTTTTTTGTTACAACCAAATAATTATGTGTTTACACATAAAAAGTAGAAAATACAATACAACAATTTTGGATTCGCATCCCGTACCACACAGCCAAGTATGCTAGCCTTGGCCCCCTAGTCTGGCCAAAACTATTCCAGCCTTATTTGCTCATAAAGAAATATTGTTCGTTGTCAAAAAAAAAAAGAAAAAAAAAAAAGACTAAAATGCCGACCCTAAATTTCGTAAAATTTAGGTCAATCCGGCGTGACCAAATAATTTGTTTTTATTTGGCCTAATAATGACAACATTATTTGTAGGATTAAATAAATTTTTTTTGTGATTTGTGACTATAAAATATATTGCAACTACATTTATTAGACTTTGCCAATCAGTAGCATGCCGAGCAAGACAAATGTGAATGTCCCATATGTGGAATATTTATTACCCGGAGAATAAAAAGTGGATTAATTGTTAGTCTTCGAAAAAAATTACTTATAGCCTACTTTCGGCCCGGAGAGAGAATGTTCTCTGTAATTTTAGGTTAGGTAATCGCAAATCCTGTCCTGCAATATTCAATGAATGATACCTAAAAAGTACTATTTCACCTTCACAAGTTAAGTCGAGGCCTATTCTCAAATTCATCAGTTATTTACTGAAGTAATTTACAATTTGTATTGTAATTTTTGAATAAATATACCATGAGAATGAATTTGACAATGATTGTCAAATCTTGCTCAATTTGTAGGTAAAATAATGTGTTTATTCTCTTATAATAATGTAATGAAATAAAGGGTAATAGAAATAGAATCTTGTCATTATTACATAGCCAGTATCTTATCATATCAGCTGTCGTCAGAAAGGTCAACATGAATATTAATATCCATAGCAATCCAGTCCATGTGAAAAAATTCTCTACCCAAACAAAAGCGAAAATTAAATAGCGCCACTCATCCCATCAAGAGAAAAACATTCAGTATAGTGCAGCAGTTACATTCGCAGTTCCAGGTGTATTCCAGGAAGAAATAAATGGTCTCAGAAACGAAAATGAAGCCACGGAAGTGAATACAGTATTCAAGGCCAGCGATATAATACTGTAAATAGGATTTTGCAGTACTTATTTGGAGTTAGCATTACAAATAAACTGTGTATATACGTAGCCTACTTTACTTAGAGTTCACACGGTACCGATAGTTAGAACAGACTTTGGCCTGGGGCAGTTACGTCCACCACAATGTTGCTTGTTGAGAGTATTACGATTTTCTTATTTCTTCGATTTATTACCAATACAGTTTCAGCTTCAATCAGCCCATCGCAGTATGAAGCAATGAGAAGTCGTTTTCTCAAAGCAGAAGCAGCTAAGATGACAGGCTGGGATATTGATCTAAATGACAAAGAAACTATTGTCAACGCAACTCTTATGCACTTCAAGGAAATGGAATTCCAGTCGTCGATGAAGTTAAATAATTTTCCTCCATCCAGGTCTTTCATGACTGCAAAAAAGGACATCGAAGCTAGTCAAGTATTTCAAATTATCAGAGAAATGCCAAAAGGTAACTGTTAGTTATAACCAGGGGAGGATCCAGAGATCTCCAAAAGAATGGAGGGGGGGGGGCGGAAGACGGCCCGAAATTGGGACCGATCGAGATATCAATGCCCTAGGGGGTCTGGCGCATGCCCCTGCTAAACATTTCTGTGTTCAGACTCCTCAGAGGTCTTTTGGGCGATATTTTTTTAAATTTTTCTTTCTTTTTCTTTTTTTCTTTTTTATTTTGATTTTCCAAAAGGGAGAGCAAGAGCCGATGGCCTGTGGCATCTGACACAGAGAAAAATATTAAATATAACATAATATTTTAAATTAATGTTAATTAATGCTTATTTTATTTATTTATTTTTTTGTATTGCAGGTGCTGCTTTGCATATTCATGAGATGTCATTGTCCAATATAACATGGGTAGTGAAAAACTTAACCTACCTTCCAGATTTGTATTTCTGTAAAATTAATAATACTGCTAAAAAAATTCCAAATTCAATTCATTTTAATTTCTCAACCAGTACTCCGCCTCCAAATTTGGATTGTACTGAAAACTGGAAGCTTGTTTCCGAAGCTCGCAAAGAAAACCAAGAGGAGTTTGATGAAATGTGAGTGTTTTTTTTTTTAATTAATTACATGCAAAAGTATTACAAAGGCAGAGATAAGCATATGCATCTGTACATTGTAAAAAAAAAACTTTCACTTAAATTTCCAAGGATAGAAAAGAATGTTTTAAATAACTTAATTATTTATTAATAGACAATTACAATAGCAATATAAAATAGACATTAATACTTTATAAATATATTAGCAAAGTATCAAATATGAATTAGTTTCTCTTCCCTATCTGCTTTCTATGTGTCACTTTTATTTTGTGGTGAGGTGGTTTCACATTGAATCTCTTCATAGTTGCCCCCACCCCCCTGAGAGCTCATAGGTGTTACACCACTGCCGATTTTCAGAAGACTTGGGATTCCTGATGCTGTATAGGGAAATATTTTATTTCATTTATTTATTTATTTTTAATTATTATTTTGTTGTAAAATAAATTGTTATAAAATAGTTTCCAATTTTATGGTTAATATTGTATACTATTAACAGACGTATTCTTTTCATCTTCAGGCTAATGCAGACACTATCAATGGTAGTGGATGATCCAATTAAAGCGTATCCCAATGGCAATGCCTCCTGGGCAAAATTCCAGGCTGCATTGAGCGCTGTTGGAGACCTTCTTTTTACCTCAACAGCGTTTGATAGCTACTTCAATCAAGCATTCACAGAATTTGAAGACGACAACGTTCAGTACATGGAGATCAGAACCCTACTCTCACCGGTAATGTTATCCTTTTAAGTCTCATTATGAGAGATAGGAAGTAGAGGCTTTAAAGTCAAGACATACAAATTCTGTGCCATCACAAGATTTGAACCCAGGACCCTGGGATTGGAAGACAAGCACCTTAACTACATGTTTCTATTCGCATAATTTAGGCTTATGTACAGTTTGTATAAAATCGCAACAAAAAAAAATGATATTCTAATTTAGGAGTGGAGTTGTGATTACCTATGCCGTTTTCAAAATATGAATTACATAATATGTATATTTTAAAATATTTATATCATTGTCTGGTTATCTAGACCATAAACAAGCTTGGAGGTATTACCAGCAACAATGATTGATTGACCCTCATGAAATGAGGATTATGGACTTTCTTTGCAAACATATGTTAAATACTGAATACCTAATAGCTGGTTTACATAAAGTATTATTGTATCAACAGTTTACTAATATTCTGTGTGTATAACCAGCATCAATTCTTAATTGACTGTTGTGGCTTGGGAATTAATTAGATTGTTCACAAACATATTTTAAAAGCTAAATCCATTTCTTGATTTACATCGAGTATGTTGAATTGAATTGAATTGAATTTATTCGATGCTCATATATAAAATATAAAATATAGAAATACAATATAGGAATTTTTTACAATAATCAAATACAACGAGCATATGGAACACCCATTAGGCCGGGAATCCAGCCCATTTCCAATGGGGTCCAAATTGCACAATTAAAAAGTTATCAAAATTAATACATATTAAAAAGGAAAAGAAAAAAAAGCAGCATTTAAAAACCAAGATGCACCCAATTAACTAATAATTAGATAGAACACAACAGTGCTCAATTGTAATTATTGCAATTGAGCACTATTCTGCCCCACCATGACAAAAGGAAGCAATGATGTTTGCATTGCTTTGAGTAATTAAGGAATATGGAGCATGTTGAGTTTGTCCCCTGCTTCCTTTTCTGGTGGTTTTTACTGTATTTTTAGTCTCTTACTTCCTTTTTGTGTTGCTAATTACTTGTTAATGAGTGGGATTTGAACATACTCAAATATATCAATATGTACAAATTATTAGTTCTTTGATAGTGACTAAAAAAACTCGAAAAATTGTCAGTTACTTCCTTTTGTCATGGTGGGGCAGTATTGCGTTCATACAGTTTTTTGATGTGTATTTTATTTTAGTAATGTTTCGTTTGTATAAATTGTAGATAAGACATATGGATGGAAGCGTCAGCAGCCAGTTAGACACCATGAAGGCGTTTCAAGATTTCATCCACCGATACAAGATCACTCATCCAGATTTTTATGATGCAAAAATAATCTACACGTCTTTAAGGTATTTCTTAAAAATACAGTTTTGTTTATTAACACCAGATTTCCCTGTTGAATTTTGTGGCTCAAAATAGGATCAAGAGCATTAGTAACATTATATAATGAAATTAAACTTCAGGATATTGCAATATTGAACTTAGGAAAGTGAAAGCAGTTAAAAAACAATTAAGTGAATTGGAGCTGACATCTAAGCCTAGTTGTGCATTATGGAATGCAAGACATTTTTCTGAATGGTAGAATTATTCTCTATTTATTAATTACTTAACATATTAGCTTATATATATATATATATGTCAGATAAAATTTGATAGTCTGGATAGGACATTATAAATGTAGATGAAAGCAATGTATATGTGTATTATGTATGTATATATATATGTATGTATATATATATATGTATGTATGTGCAATAATGCATAACTGAGGGGCCTGAAAATAATACACATATACATTGCTTTCATCTACATTTATAATGTCCTATCCAGACTATCAAATTTTATCTGACAAAACCATGTGACATGCCTAAATATGGTCATGATGACATCACATCATGACCATATATAGGCACATCATGACTATATGTGGGCATACAACAATTTTTTGAAAATTTGGTTAAGCATAAGTAAGTAAATGTATTTGTATGCAAAACATATGGAATGAATGAAACAACTATACATTCATTTTAGATTTGTATCTGAAGACAAGGTTAAGGATGCTGTTTCATTAGCAATGGACCTAATTAAGAAATTTCCTGACACTATGATTGGCTTTGATCTGGTTGGTGAAGAAGATGTTGGCTATTCTTTGAATAAATTCATCAACCAGCTACTGCTACCAGTCAACCAAAATGTCAAATTGCCATATTTCTTTCATGCAGGTGAAACAGGTATGCCTAGTAATGTATTTAATGTAGTTTTATTCATTTGTCTATTCTCAATTCATTAAAATATAAAGAAAACAAAATAACAATAAGAAAACATGGGACAGGGATACATTAAAAGTTAACATAGTAACTGTTAATGTGTTCTTTGTATTAATGTAGCATCCCCGTTTCTTAATGTGATAATTATGAGTGAAGCCACATTAATGTTCATGTGGCTGTTGAAACCATTCTGAATCCTACATCAGGTGATCGACTGACCTGAACCACACACCCTAAGTCCAAAAAGTAAAATAGGGAGTACAAGCCAACGGGCTGCGTAGGGCCTCCACACAAGAAATAGTGGTTGTTATGAGATTTAGGATAGTTCAGCTCTGTTTGGTTTACTCACATAATACAGTGTCAACATCCCAATCTACAATTACAATCACATAGCCCCCTACACCAACTGCCAGAGTTCTTGGGATTTGGAATTGGAAGATTGTAGGGTTTAGTATGGTAAAACTTGTGCAGTTTGACCACAATGTTAAGACCTGTAATCTCAGTATTTGTATTTCAACTTTAAATATTTTTAGACATTTCAAGTGGCTTCAAAAAACAGAATGTCTATACTTTCACCCCGACCCCCTCCCACTAAAGCAACACTACCACACACTATCATGTGGACAAAGATAATATTTACAAAAAAAAACTTTTTAAAATATTATCCGCATTTATTGTTTTGCAGATTGGCAAGGTACAAGCATTGATGAAAACCTTATTGATGCCATCCTGTTGAATACGTCTCGTATTGGACATGGATTCGCTATTCTGAAACATCCGGGTGTTCTAGATGAACTGAAGAAACGAGACATTGCAATAGAAGTCAATCCAATATCCAATCAGGTGAGAGAACATGTTACTTAGTACTGCTAGTGGGTTGGGTTAATTGAAGATTGTAATTTTGATATGTCACATCTGCAAAATTAAAAGTTCATAAAAATAGATTATTTCCAATATATAGAATTTTTTATTGTTTTTATTTAAATTCAAAGGTTCTTAAGCTGGTGGATGATCTGCGAAACCACCCTGCAACTTACCTTCTCGCCAATGATTTTCCTGTTGTTATCAGCTCAGATGATCCAGTTATTTGGGGTGCTAAAGGCCTTTCTTACGATTTCTACGAGGCTTTCATGGCATTGGGTGGAGAAAGGGCGGATCTTAGAACTTTGAAAAAACTTGCACTTAATTCTATAAAGTAAGTCTGTCAACTTAAATAGTATCAACATTATTACCATCATTGATGATGATGATGAAGATGATCTCCATCACTATATTATCAGCATCATCATCATTAAATGTAGTAAATATATTTGTTATAATCATCATCATCAATATCATAATCATCATTATCAACTGTCAAAATTTTAGTATTTTTTTCATACAGCAGAGTATAGCATAGTAGTAAAGACTGATGCTTTCTTCTTATGTCCTTAAGTTGACAAGTCAATCAATCAATCAATTGATTTACATTGATATATTTCAAAAAATTTGTTCTAAAGGAAATTAAAAACAGAATGTCATGGGTTCCAATTTTTCCCACTAGTAACAGAAATTCTTTGGTAATCTCGACTGCCTTGTGCGTTCCCGCAAGCAAACAAATTCACCTTGGAAACAAACCCATCTTTTGCAAATTCCTAATATTTACAATTTGTTACTACTGCATTATCATTTGTGTCCCTGTGTTAAGACGGGCACTTACTGCTCACGACGCTCGTTGGCTGACGCAATTTCATAAAGAACTCAGCGCGAGGATACATGCGCAGCAGATCGTTTTTAATGATGATCCGTTCAGACTGTTACCGACAATGAGCAGACGGCGTTGCGTCGTCTGTCACCCACAGGGAGTGGAGTTGGATTCGTCGTACATTGCAGTGAGTGCCCAGCATTAGTTATCAATTTGGATCAACACATAGCAAAATACAATTAGATTTGTTAAGAAAGCTAATTAAACCACAACTCCCAGAAGTGTCTTGCAACTTGGGACCCTGGAATATCTTGAGTGATACTTGAGTGAAAACTTTCTTTTCATTCTCACTTTCATACCAAATCTAATTTCCTTGCAAGCCTTATTATGGTAACTGTATTTTTTAATTATATTGTCTATTTCCTTTCAGGTATTCAGCACTTTCTGACAACCATAAAATGGAATTGACACAACTCTGGCAAAAAAAATGGGATATGTTTTTAGACCAATTCTTAGAAAAACACAAAAAATATACTCAATTTAAATCAACCCGTAATTATCATTAGATATGAAAATAGTATAGAAGCAATGTTAGACAAGTTATGACCTCATATCATCTTAACCATTCGTCATTTCTGAATCATATTCAGTGGGCATAAACTTCAGGTCAAGGTTGAATGTCATGTACTTTAATTTTCCGTTCGCGCGTCTTAACATGTGTGTACGCGTGCATCAAAATTTATATATACTTAAAATTTTGCCTATTTTTAATCAGTTATAGCTCCTTAAGATGAAAGGTGACCCCCAATTTTTATTACATATTCTGAAAGCACGAGCTGTAGATATGATTTTATATATCATTATGCTGATTGGATATTGTGACGTTGTCATATTGCTATCTGAATTCAAAAAACCGAATTTCTATGAAGGACAATGCACATGCAGTGGTTTGTTTTTGATGACGATCCATTTAGACTGCTACCAACAATCATAGAAACTTAATTTTTATTTGACATCATTATTTTTACACTCATTTGATCAATTGTCTCCCACCTGTGAGTATGTTATCGTGAGACAATTTTCTTTCTGAAGTGTCCCTTCATTTTTTAATTTTGATGAGGTCACCATGGTCAAAATGAATGTTTTTCTGACCCATCCCCTACCATTTTATTTCTAAAATTTTTCCAGAACCCGAGAGAGAGCGACAGACTTGATATTGTCATGCACTGTTTGAAAATCCTGGCTATGGTAGTTTCCCATAATTCATACCTTTTAAGCACAGAGAGATTTCTTTTGCCTGACAAGCGGATCACTTAACTCATCCTTAGTGACGAGTTTAAATCTAGTTTGGTAATAATAATAATGATAATGTTATATTTATATAGCGCATAGTGCATATTGCCCCTATGCGCTTCATACAGAAATTATATAATAATAATGGTAATGGTGAATTGTATAAATAACTAGAAACACACTGACGGTGGAGGAGGCCTGTGTTGAGTACAACTAATTATGCATCCACGATGAGTACTGGTGCTTCACTGTAGCTGTTTCTGGTACCCTGTCGGCCAAACAAGCTTTCAAATTTCTGTTTGAAATAGGCTGAATAGGTAAAATTTATTATTGTTGAATATAAAAGTTTAAAGATTTCAGTGATTTTATTAATGTGAGCATGTTAAGTGTATCCTTACCATCATCGTAAACATCATTTTATCATCATCTTTATTATCGCCAAAATCATTATCAGAATCGTTATCATTTTCATCATCATCATTTTCCATCGTTGTGCTTGATATTTAAAATGTGTACTGTATACAATAGTCACACAGTTTTATTTTCAAATATCAAAATATGTTTTTCTCTTTTTTAATGGCAATTTAAGGCAAAAATGCTTGATTTTGATGCCAAAGAAGTGTTTATACCTCTCCTATCAGCTGAGACTCTCATTCCAGTTTGAATCATGATTATTTTAAAGGAATGATGTAAGTCAGTAAACAGTATCTTTATATTTAAATTGGAAATTTAAATTTATGTATAAATTGGATACATAGATATTGTTTGTTTGAAAACCCTTGAAAAAAAATCATTGAATTTCATATGTCAGGGAAATACTTACAGGTTGTATGTACAGTACATCAATACAAATTCCATGAAAATGTTAATATATTATAGCAGTAATTTTGGTATGCATTATATATTTTTGTGCACATTTTTTGATAGATATTCGTCTTCCTAATCATGTTTTAGAAACTTTTAAATTTGTTGTTCCAAGTGTGCAATACAATACTAAGGAATGTTTATAATTTTTGAAACAAAGAATATAATTGTTTGCTATGAAGACCTACTGGTAGCCATACCAGTATTGATGTTAGGTTTCCAGCTTAGGTGTTGCTAGGTTACCACTTTTGAAACCTTCATATGCCTTCCATTTTTACTTCCTGTACATGCTTTTGTAATAGCTGTACATTTAAAAAAAAAAATTAAAATTGGATCATCCAAGCCCTTAGTTTGTGTGCAGTTAATCCCAAATTGGTGATTGGGCTAAAAGACAGTTTTAATTTATTAATGCAATAATAAGTTAACCAATGCAGAACGATAATGGTATAATTCCATCGGCATCATTTATGTTTAGTATACATGTAATTTCATTATTAAAGATGAACATTTTATCGTACTAATTCAGGCAGAAAATTAGAAAATATATATTTTAACAAAGATGTAATATTTTCAAAGCTTTATCACAATAAAAAGAAATATCAAAAGGAAAAAATGTAAATGATTGTTTTAACGTTTGCTGCTTAGGATACCAAGGCTATTACAAGCCATCTTTGATGAAAATTCAAGAGTGCAGTACAGTTTTCTTCATTCACAATTTATAAAAACGCACTGTACAAAAAAATATTCAGAAACGCAAGGACGAACACCTAAACAAAGTCAGAGATATACAATCCATCAATATACAAGAAATACAAAAATTTGCAACAAATTAAACTAGCAGGTACCGGTACACAGAAATTCAACTATCCACAATAAAACAAAGGGAGTACACAGAGCTTCTGTAGAAAAACCGCATTTTAGCTATAAAAAGCTATTACCATAGATAGATACTTAGCATTAGAAGGATGTGTAAATAAACAGGTTAGGGGTGACAGCTTGATTTGAGGCTGACCAATTGTTTATGGCCTTGTGCAAGGTACAAAGTCAACTCCATATGTGACACACAGAAGTACAGTATTGGTAGGTTTAATTTGCTAATTCACTTTTTAATACTAGTTACATCTTTACAGAATACTCCCCAATATGTCAATATCTTGTCTTTGTCTTTCAAGGAATATGCGCTCTCGTGCGGCAGTTTTCAGGGCCCCTCAAAGGGTCAACAGTGGACCCATATGGCCAGGAACAAATCCGGCCCAACTCGTACAAGCCCTGAATACTGGTCTCCAAAATAACAACTTACAACTTGTTTCGCGAACTTATTTTTTTTAAGATAAAAAAGGCAAAAAAAAAAATTAAATCTTTAAAACAGCGTAGTAACAGGATGGTTAAATGCTTTAAATTTATATAATTAGGAAGAAATATACAGTACATATCTCATTTTTGGAAATTTCCATTTCCCCATTGCAGTGGGTGTGCTAATTGGCCAAAATTAAAATTTTATTTTTAATCGAAATAATCATTATTGGCAGGCAGCAGGTTCGCTAAAAAAAAAAATCTACCCTAATCAAAATCCAACTCCAGGTAGCCAAACAAACCTTAAAAGCCTGTTATATTTCAAATTTTAACCTCAGTAAAATCATTGACCCAAGAAATATTTGGTTATGGGAAACCAGTGTGTATGAAAGTAAAGCATGCCTCTCTTATTGCTAGGAATCATTGCTGTGGTCGATTTTATTGTTAAGAAAAGATCGTTTCAAAGATATAACTGAAACACATATTCGTCATTACAGTAACGTGTGATCAGAGTTCTGATTTTTGCTGAAATTGAAAGACAAATTGAATAGCGAAAACAGAACTGTTGCGTTTGAAAACTGGCCATATCTACTGCTGATGATACTTTAATAGTAAATTTATGTTGTTACGCCACTGACAATAATAACTTAAGTCCAGGTCTCTTCAAATTTTGTGATATTTATTTTGTAAATACCCATCTACAGTGGGAAAGGGGTGTTGAAATGAATGGATACACTCCAGTACATGGGAGGGAGGTTGAAGTGTATCCAAGCTGATACAAAGCTGCCAGAACTTCTTGTGGTTAGGAAAAGTAAATGTCTACAGGACCTTAGATTAGATCCCCTGGGCAAGACCCCTCTCACTAACAATCTGGTAAAACAAAAACACAATAACCACTATACTGTGGGATTTCATCTTTATTCGGTACACAATATTTTCAATAATAATCTAGATATTCTGTATAGGTAATCTACTCTATATCATGATTCAATACTATTTTAATGGAATGTTTATAAAATGAAGTCATGATTGAAACAGATATATACCTGTATGTAACTAGATGTATCAATGAAGAAAAGTAATAAAATATAAGTAAAATTCAACTTAATTATAAAAAGCACATCGTATACGGTATTACAAACATATATAAATATACAACATTAAAATCTAATTCCATTCCAATTAGAATAAAATATTTGATAGCATAGATTCAATCTAATAAGATATGATCAAGCTACTAAAAGCATGCAACAGACAAAATAGTATTAAAAGAGGAAATATCTGAGATGGAAAAATGAGATAGTAATATAAAAACATGCACACAAGTACACATTATTCAGTAACATTGTAAATTCTAAAATTAATCCACATTGCCTGAGGTCATAGTTGAGTAAATAATAACACTGATATCTAGTCTATATTTTTATTTTTATCAAAATTGCACTTCTAAAAAATTAATTATTAAAAAAAATATCAAATAATTCTCTAATGTATTCTCAGCATTTTTCAATCAATATAAAGCTCATAATGATTACAAAAAAATACTATTTAAAAAATATAAAGCACCTGTCTTTCATCTTGATTATATAAAATTACATCAAAATGCATTAAGTAGATCTGGTACATTAATTACCAGTCACAAGCACTTGTGCACAATCGACCTTTTCGCTAAGCCCCGCCCATTGGATATTGTTGCCAAGGTCCCACAAGACGACAGTGTTACAACATACGCGAACACGTGGGCTTGTGGGACAACACGTGTTTCTGAGACGTACACATATTTCTGGCGCTGTTCTGATTGGTCAGTTAAGTTTGATTGCCACTCCAGAAATGTCCATTATTTTCACTGTTTTCAGCCCAATGTAAAGTTATGTCCAGATTATCAAATATTATTTGACAAAAACATGTGACATGCCTAAATATGGTCATGATGACATCACATCATGACCATATATAGGCACATCATGACCATATATAGGCACATCATGACTATGGGTATACAACAATTTGATAATCTAGACAAGGCTTAGGTCATATTTTGAACAATGTATTTGAAAGATGATAGTAATCTGTTTATTTAGGATATGCATTGTAGATATGCATTCATATACTTACATGAAAACAAGGTTAATTTTGCTGTTTGTACTGCTTATCATATTGAACTGATATGGCTCAACATGATAGTGACTTTAGAATAGAGAAACTCTGACACTTCTACTAGTTAAGCTATATAAAAATACTTATGAGAATCAACTTTATAAATGTTAATTGTGCAATCAAAAGGTCTGCATCAGACTCAGTCACATCGTAGAATACTGAACATGTTTAATATCCTCACGACAACCGGACGATTTAAATTCCTATGGGCTGTCTTATATTACGCGAGTTGGCCTCTATATACGCTTTGAAAAAAAAAACAACTCTATTGCTTTGTGTAGGACACTTCTATAAACAAGATTACTCTAAGATACTTTATACTATCCCGAGATAAAATCCAAAATAACCCGCAAAGTTCAATTAAAACATTCAGTTTCTTTTTTAATTGGGTAAAAATATAATGAAATTCAAATGAAACTCACATGAAAACAATTAAGTTTTTGTTATTTTACATATCTTGTAATGCTAAAATTCTTACTGGCAAATTTTAGGGTCTACACAATTAAAGCATATGTTAAAAGTGGGAAATACTTCTTGTTCTAATTTTCAATTAAATGATAATACCTCAAATTAGGCAATTTTAATTATGAATGCTTTTTGTAAAATGGGAAAGAAAATAATTTAACAGAATTTTTTACATTGTAGTTGTTTGTATTGCTCCACTTCAAGCAAAAGAAAAAGAAAATCAAATTTTCGCTCACTGGTAGGTTGATGGGAAAATCGTCTGATATGCTGCAACACTTTAAAATAACCCTGACTTCTCCTCCTTTAATACTGAGTTGAAGAGAGCCGTCAGTGTTATACAGCTAAAACTGATGCCTGCAAGGAAATATAGATTTTGATGTTTATTTTTTGTTACTATTTTGTTGTCATTGCCACTGCCATCCATCAACCATCTCCAGCATCTTATCATCATCATCTGATCGTTGTCATTATTGTCATCATTCTCATTATCATTGCTGTCATCATCTTCATCATCATTACAGTCAACACAAAAAAGACAAAAAACAACTAACATTACTTAGCAACAATTCTCATGCTTCTGTCTTACCCATAGTTATAAAGATGGCAGCAATATTTGTACAGAGGTCTCGGTCCTCTCGAGGATACTTGGGATCATGCATTAGCATGTAAAACACATTCACATAAACAGCGCCACCAAGTAGACCCACTACTATCATATAAGCAGGCAACACTGACACTGGCAAATATTTGTACTGTGAAAATAAAATAATGATATTGTTAAACATAATTTAATTAAAATTGTTTATATTCAAAGAAACTTTTCGGCCAATCAATCAATCAAACAAACAAAGACTGTGAACCTATGGATGTTGGTTCCATGGCTAACAGGAATGTTCAAATGGTCTCTTTTTATCTAGCCTGTATGCCTGGTGGAGTGAGCCTCCAGTCAAGTGCTCAGCCCAGCTCAGACACTAGGCACCATGTAACATTTCACTTTTCCTTAACATTTTTGTACATCATACAATTCCTAAATCACGACTTACCTTGATATCAATGACCCATACTAACATGTTGACGACTTGAATAAATGTCAGAATTCCAATTTTTCTAATGGGCAAGATTTGAGCAGATGACCTAGAGGAAAACATGGCGGCCTAAAAAACAGAGAGAAAAAGTTGATAACACACCTGAAATTCGCATACTAAATAACCATATGTTGGAGTAGTAATCTTGATAAAAATAGTGATGATGAAAATGATGATAACATTGATGGTGGGTATCAGTAATTATGAAAGGTAAAGGTAGGAGAATAACCCATAACTTGCAGCGTCATTGAGCTGAATTGCGTATGGGCATGGTCCATGACTACCTAGCAGCCGTAAAGAGGCAAAGAAGGCGACCTAAAAAACAGAGAAAAGTTGATCAAACACCTGAAAATGTGCATACTTAACCATATGTTGGAGTAGTAACCTTGATAAAAATGGTGATGATGAAAATGATAACATTGATGGTGGGTATGAGTAATCATGAAATGTAAAGGTAAAGGTAGGAGAATAACCCATAACTTGCAGCGTCATTGTGCTGAATTGCGTATGGGCGTGGTCCATGACTACCTAGCAGCCGTAAAGAGGCCCTACATGTTCACATCGTTCCACAACAACGGGGGCTGAAATGAACTATAACATCGGGGTAACCCCCTACTCTTCCGAAAGATGCAATGGGTTCTTTAAAGTGCACACGAGTCACATGTATACACTGGACCTCCATTTAAAGTTCTTATCCGAGAAGACTTTGTTCTACTAACCGAACCATGGTCCAGGATCAGCTGGAACCAGCGCCAATGTTAAGGCTGTAGCTAGCGGCCACTTGACTCGCCAAAGAAAATGATGCATTGAAATGTTTTACCTGATAACACAGTTGCATCGATGCATACAACTCGGGGCAGGTTTTGTCGTACTCTTTAATATTTCGTACCCTAGATGATGATATGCGAATCATGTATTCGCAAAAAGTACACAAACATAACTATAGAAAGAAAAATAATTTTAAGAATAACATGTAATTATTCCTATACAGAGAATAATATTCTATTTATTGGTGTATAATGTGTCTCACCAGGATACACTTTCCAGGAGTTTTCAAGTGAAAATTGTCACAGACTATTTATATGGAAAATTAATTATGTATACTGTAATTGTTTAAGCAGTTTTGGAAAAGTCATAGCAGTACACAGACGATGCACAGATTTTTTTTGTAATTGCCCATGATCAAAGCTTTTTGTTGTCATGAGATTAAATCCTGAGTCTGGGATTGCGCTAGGATTGCAAGCATCTTAACCAATAAGCAACACCTCCACTCCACAGACATTGTTGGATTCAAACACACAGAACCCTGAGATTGTAAGGAAAGTATCTTAACCACATAGATCTCCATCCCATCGACACTGCATGATTTGAACCCAGGAACCTAAAATTGAAAGCCAAGCACCTTAACCACCAAGTCACATCTCCACTATCATAGACCATTTAACTGCAGACTTACATTTACTGCTAGCCATAATATTTTCTTTAGGCAGATGAATGTTCTTCGTACCGTTGGCCTTATCTGCTCGTGCCAAGATTCAAGGAAACTTGTATCTGTTGTTGTTGTGCTTGATGTTTCTGAGTCACACTGATGGTATAAAATGGCTACCAACAGAACACAAGAAATATGTTGAATATTTGCATAGCCTTTGCATTTAAATCAAGTTGGGGAGGACTACCATTTATACACTGGTTTAAAAGGTAAAAATATCAAATCAAATATACTTTTATTTTCCATACAATAAAGTAATACAATATACAATAAGAATGCAAAAAAAAAAAAAAAAAAAAAAAAAAAAAAAAAATTGAAACAAATACATTGTATGGAAGGAGGCTACTGTAAGTTCAACAAGAGCTTTAAGATGTATCCACCTTCACAAAAAAGATAGAAAAATGGCCGGTACCATTGTTTAGTTTTTTCTAAACTAATAGAATCAAAGAAATGATATACCATTAAAATTATAATAATTCCAATCCAGCTTTGTATACGTTTTAAAAAAACACAAGCCCAGACACGTTATTTCAAAGACTCAAATAGAAATGAAAGGAAGAGAAGGAAAAAGATAATTAATTGCCATATACCAAGACCAAGGACTTCTTAAGGTGGTATTTAAAACTATTCAATGTGAATTTATTTTTTAGGTCATCAGAAACATCAGCCCATAATTTCGGACCCCAAAAAAGAACTGAAAGACGCCTGATACTAGATGTGCATTGAGTACGAGAATATAATTGTTGCTAGAAAATCTTGTATTATATTGATGATGTTCAGATGCTCTTGTATATAGATTACTGATGTTGGGTGGTATAGTCTACTTGATTTACTTTGTCCAATAGTTTAAATATTTCATACAGAAATTGCAACAAAATGACATGGTGACAGTATTTAAACTCAATGTGTACCTCTAAATCAACAGAGATCGCTTTAGTTAGCGCTGGATGTGGCGAGTCCCGCCAGCGATTGGCCCTTTTAAAACACTTCATAATTTTAGTCTGAATGGAATTGTATATTTCCATTAGACACATGAACCTATGCATCATTCAAAATGCAAGTGTTGTTATAAAAAGTATCTTGTATGCTATCTTCATTACATTTTAGACGATTAATATACCTGTACACCACTTTTGACTCCGCTTAATGCATTACCATAGGACTACAGTAACCCTGCCCTTCAGTAGGACTAATACATGACATTCTGTTCCTGTATGAACATTTTGTATTTGACATTGAATTACACTCACCATTTGTAGTATCTAAGCTTGGTCTATGGCCCTGCTTCACCCTGCCGTTAATGGCGCTATGGTTTTCTGTAGCAGACGCCTGGTATTCTCGTAGGGTTCGTGGATTTCCAGCTTGCTGAATGATATACAGGTATGCAACCCAGTAGAGTGCAATGGCTGGTACCATTGATAGAAAAGCATATCTGGAAAACAGAAATGGAAAATTGTGTCATAAAATATTGTTTGCAAAAAAAAAAATTGCTTGTGATATCTTGTGTAGATTTTATGCTTAGTTTTGGTACTGCGCAAGAAACTTGGGGTATTCGTTCGTTCGTTGGGGGTTCATTCATTTTAAAATTTCTAAAAAGTGAGGCATTATATATGTGGCAAAGATAAGCCAAACCAGACACTCCTTGCAAATCGTGTTTCTGATAATTGCCAAAACATGTTGGAAGTCAAAATTTTCAAAATCTTTGTAATTGCACTAAACTTTATATATCTGTTACATAAAGATCCCCTATGTTATCCTATGCTAAGGCAAATGCTGTACAAACAGTAGAGGCTAATAAGAGCTGACAAATCTAATTTGCATAGTTGATAATCGAAGCCTGGTTCTCACGAGAGCCCTAGTATCCGGATTGGGAGCTAACCGTTAGCGCTAACCGTTAGCACCTGCGTGAGAACACCCGATCGGTTAGCGCTAACCGTTAGCAGTATCCGGATACCGCTAACGGTTAGCAAGCACTATCGGTTAGCATGTTGAGTGTGTTTTTATCATCAACCAATCACACGTACGCTTTTACAATTTCCAGTTTCTTATTGGCCAGTGATTCGATCATCATATTTTTGGTATTCGGATCGGGATTTTCTCGTATGGACGCACGGCAGCTAACAGTTAGCAGGATCCGGATCCTGCTAACCGTTTGCAGCTGAGTGATATCATAGCCCTAGAGAACCAGTTTAGTTGAACAGATTCCCTGCTGAGAGACCCCAGCAATGTAGGTTATTATTTTTATTATTATTAGACAGACTTATTTTGTGTATGTTTATGAATAACTATATATTATTTACAGTTATTCAAGACTTTTTTTATTCCTTGTTTCGCATACTTATTTTTTTAAAGATCATCAGAGGAGGGCGGAATAAAAATAAAATTTTGTTTTCTTATTTAGCAAATAATTTTGCCAAAAATATTCAGATAGAAGAGATAATAAAAATAAAATTTTATTGGTGAATGTAAAATATGATGGTTAAATGCTTCAAATTTATTTATTTATACAGCTGCATGTTTGAACTCATGTAACTTCATAATAAAATGTCGAATTTGAATGATTCTTTTACCATTTTATAACTTTAATTTACTGTAATTATAACTAAAAATTTATTTTTTGCAAAGAGTGACTGGTTTGGCTTGTCTTTCACATATGTAGCAGAGCAATATATCCACTATGTGGGCCAGGTGAATGTAAATCAGATATATGAATGTCAGACTTACTTGTCTAGTGTATGAATTAAGTTCTTTTCTTTTCCTTTTAAAATAGCGGCACAACCTAAAAGACAAGATGCAACCATAAGATATACTGTACTACAGTTAAAAATCCTGGGATTAAATAGAGATAACATTATATCATTTTGGTCATTCACATTCTGATTTTACTGGCGTACATTTTGTGACAACTGTCCTCACCAAATATAACGTATAGTCCTGAACCCACTAGACCAGCAAACCCTGTACCGCTAGACCATGCATTCACCAGCCGACTGTCATAACGAGATAGATATCCCAGAGCAATGCTGAAAAAAACAGTTGATGTGATATTAATAGCAACAACAACAACTGTAACAATAATGGACCGTTCCAGAGTGTCAATCAAACTTCTGACCAATCAGAATATGGGCAGGAATATGGGCGTGTCCTACAAACGCATATGTTGTGCCACAAACGCCCGTGTGTGCATACGCTTTTAACACTGTCGTTTTGTAGGACCTTAGCAAAAATATCCAAGGGGCCAGGCTTAGCAGAAAGGTGCATTATATTTATTTGCCAATTGTAGGAAGAACAGTTTAATAACAGGTTTGGTGGTGCTAGCAAAGAACTTTATAGTAGAAGAATGAGTTCTTCAATTTACATTAAAAAAAATGGTACATCCACCCTCCCGCGAGCGGGTTAAAATTTGACCTTATTTGAAGTGGAGAAACTACAGGAAACAAACGAACCAGAGCGGCTATTTAACTTATAACATATAGCGCCATCGCAAGGACAAGCTAATATTGCTCTCTGTTCTCCCAGAATGCATTACAACCGGATGTTCCAATATATCGCGAAGCTGCTCTATATTTATTTTCTTTGGTGCTACAGTAGTACGGTATAATTACAAGATAAATTAATTATATTATTTACAACAAAATTTGATATAGAGGTAGTAATTAATAGAAATGTTGCAAATAATATACAAATCAAGTTGAAATAAAAATTATACAATGATGTAATTTAAATTATAAAATTAGTTGTAATTAAAATAATAAAATATTTTAATTGCTAAAAGAAACTTGAAGAAGTTTTTTACCATTGGAGATTTAAAAAAAACCATTTACTTACTTCTCCCCAAAAGCTGCACTAGCACCTACAAACACCTGTAAAAAAAATTGAAAAACCCAAATAAAATTAAAGTCTAATAATTTGTTTAAACATTGCGGGGAGGAGTAGGACTACTTTATCTACATATAGTCTCAGGATATTCTTATTTTTGCATTTTGGCTGAACATGGGTTTTTTGTAGTATCACAGAACTACAAAGTCCTATAACAACAGGAAATTTTAATGCTAATACTAGTTGTGTTGAGTATACTGTACTGGATTATGTAAATGTTTGAACACTCAAAAGCTCTCAGATTACAATTTCTCTTTTTATTAACCAAGAAGTAAAACTTACGACTGAGCTTAATGCAAAAGCAAACTTGGAAGCATAAGCTAAACCACACACTCCTAAAAATAATGAGAAACACAGTAATTAAATAATAATTTAAGAAGTTGTTTGTTTTCTCTTTTGTTGATGGTTTTTGTTTTCCTTTTTCTTTGTATCTTCTTCATCTTATTTGTTTTTGGTTTTTTTTTCACTTTCTATTGGACATTTGTTGAAAGAGCAGAGAGACAATTGCGCTATTATGCGCTATACAAGTCTACAAGCATTACCATTAAAATGATTAACTTATGAGGGTATATATCTATTTTTGGTGGTGCCTTTTGCTTGAATGGACAGTGTGATATATATACTATTACTATACTATTAACAGGCCTCTTTTCATTGAAGGGATATGCTTGATACACATTTATAAGCAAACACTGTTCTACAATTTCTTAACCATATGTATCTTTTCAGTTAGTACCAATAATAGGAAATCAATAATGAAAACTGAGAACTGAGTTATTTATTTTCTATTAGAGTTATAATGAGCATATGACTTGTTTTAGGAAGTTAAACAAATGCAACTGTTTAACATTTCTATTAGCTGCATGATAACTAAGTAAGTAAGTATTTATTTGGAAATTACACTTTTATATCGGTGGCACACACAAAGGTGGTGCATCCACAATGTACATCTTAAAAGAACAAACAAAATTAAAAACAAAAAATTAAACAATTAACTTAACAAAAATACATAAAGGCTTACACTAACAAATTGAAATTGGCAATTAAAAGTACATACTACTCCAGACAAAGAGGTGACTATAGAGCAGAATTTATTTTATTTAATTATAAACAAAGAATTAAGCTATTAACTACCACCAATCAGTTTTCAATAAAGTGTAGTTTAGTTTTTGCAACAATACTTGGCAATTCTTATTTAAAGCATTTTCATTGTTACTTCATGTATGTTCGTGGAGTTTTGAAATAAATACAGATCACAGGACAGGAAGAACAATTATTGTTATTATCAACAGATTCAGGATATGATATGGATAAGTACATAGTCTAAATCAAATTTGAACATCAAACAATTAGTAATAACATTTTTTAAATCAACACAAAAGTTAAGGAATGATGTTAATTTTTATAGTATGCCCCCATTTCTACTTCTCTAAAATTCAGATTATCCGGAAAATTGCAAAGGTCACATGATCTCAAGGTTATAAATAGCAAAGGTGACTTTAAAAAATTGGTTACAACATATTGAAACCAAAAGTTAAACATTTCCGTCATTTAAGCATCTTGAGAAATGAACAAAGAATAGCTTTTATAAACATAAAATTATTATTATTATTATTATTTTTTTTAAATTGGTAAGAAGATACCGCATATGCTTGTAAGACAAGACAAGGACAATAATAATAATGGTGCATATTGTCGTGACCTCTATGTGCATCACAATGTAAAATAAGTTTTAAAATATAAATATCAAAATAATATGTGGCTAAATAAACTCCTAATCCTTCAACTAAGTTATGGATGGCCATTGAACATAGTATATTACGATAGTAAAGCAGGGGTGTCTTGCGCACACCACAAATTTTGATTTTTTAATTATGTTCATGTGTAGATTGTCTGTATTACTGAAGTGAAGGCTACTAACCACTATGATCTGAATAAACGCAATTTTATATGTGGGGAAATATGATTTTGATGAACATTTAAAAGCCTATAAAATAATAAAATTTGGAAGATTAGCCCTAGATTTGATTTTTAGCCAGCTAAATGCAGTATCAAGACTATAGAGAGCAGCAAAGTAGGAATTATGGGAGTGGGGAGAGCAAATGCCCCCCTCCCCCGCTGGCTCCATAACTGCATATGCGAGAATATACAGTAATCATGATTCTGTACTGAGGATATAAAATTTATGTTGTTTAATACAAAAGTACCAGTATAAACACTTACACCATTTTTACACTATCAAGCCAAAACAAACACCGGTGTGACACTAGAGCCAAAACCTACTTAATGAAGAGACTGCGGGATGACCTTGGGTAACACCCATTTATACTTGACAACCAACACCAGCTGAACACCGGTGTTGAATGCTGCCCTCTATGGACATTTTTGAGGAAAACATGCTCATTAGTCTGCAATCAAGTTTAGTTTCGATGGGGAAAAACATTTTAATTTATTTGTACACTAAAAACCGAATTAATTTCTAAACAAAAATACAATCCAAAGCAATAAAATATAACTTACATTATGTTTATGTTTAACTAAATACGTTCAAAATATACAAATAGTTATATTATTTACAAAAAAATTGAGTAATTTAAATGAAAGTGGATGATTAAAATCCCAGTTTGTGAAAGTCGGGAATGTTTACACTGTGTGTTCTGACGTGGACGGGACTATCCTGGATAAGCTTCTCCTGAAAACATTCAGCTTTGTTGAACTCGGGTTCAGCACACCAGAGTCGTTGGTGTTCACCCATTTACACTAACCCCAACTCCGGTGTTTAAAAACCCGGTGTATCGACAACGGGGAAGTAAAAGCGGATTTACTTCGGAGTGTTGCTGATAGTGTAAAAGGGGTATTACAATACAGGAATATGAAGTGATGCAATGAAGCTGGAAATAACAAAAAGGACAATAAGAAAAATTGATCATATGATTCCATTTAAAGACTTTGCTGCTGCTTTAACAGAGGACCGCTCTAAATGGAGAAAATGTCATCAAACCGAGACACAATTTGAATGTGTCCAACCCTATTTGACGGGAACTGTGGATGTTAAACTGGACAGTAAAATAAGTAAGTACTGGGGTATTCAATAGTCACTGGTAACAAAATATGATTTCTTACCTAATCCCATAATAATACCATTGATAAAAAAACGAATTCCATATGGTACTCTCAGGAGTACAAATGTATTCAGTACTGAAAAAAAAGTATAAAACAAAATAAGTTACATCTTTGCTTGATATATGTAACTAATATAATCATATGTATGTACCTTCAATTTTAATATTATAATCCATTCTATTTCAATTTAATAATAGATAAATATAATTCCAATTTCTCATAAATTACAATAGTTAAAAAGAACAAAATATAAATCATCGTCTTGCAATCATCCCAATACAATTATCTTTCATTTTCTATTATTTGTTGGAATTTATTTCCGGGATCTAATAAATCTTTTCTCTAATTCAATTTCAATTACATTTTCAGAATTTTATGTTTCAGTTTCCATGTAATGTTATAAAAGAGGCAGTGCCAGGAATTCCTCGACGAGGGGTCTAAGCTCCCCCTATTGGGAAAGCTTATCTCCCCCACCCCTCCATCGGTCGAAGAAAAATTTTAATTTGTTGGGTATCTTGTTATTAAAAAATAACATTTTATGTTAATTATGGGATTCTTTACCGTCGGGAGTACCATCACTCTGTCGGGGAAGAGCTGCGCCACCACTGACAATACCTCGCACATATGACGGTAGCACTGCTAGCACTAAACAATTTTTAATCGATAAAACTTGACAGCTTAGTAAGGCATGCTTAAATTGTACTTTCGGTGCTCGAGATTTGATTTTTCCTCAACAAACTTGCTGGAAGTTCTCTGACAGGGGGTCCAAGCGGGGGTCCAGAGGTCCACAACAGGAGGGGGGTCATTTGTCCCCACTGGATCCGCCGCTAGGACAGCCCCTGGTTGAAAGAGATGCAATGCAACAAAAATACCCAAAACCTAGGAGAGCACTTGTAAGAGATGTAGAAACATAATGGCTACTGCTGTTGTGTGTCCTTGGGTTAAGTCCTGTCCAGACTATCACAAGCCTAAATATGGTCATGATGACATCACAACATGACCATATATAGGCACATCATGACTATATATGGGCATACATCAGTTTTTTTGTTAATTTGATAGTGTGGACAGAGCTTCAGACACTTTCATCTGATTATCTAAATCTGTAGGTGAAGTTACCAGACCATACAGGCACTGTCTCCTAGTGTAGTGATCAAGGTAGGCACCTTACTATGGCTGCAGTGGGTCCCCACCAGCCAAATTAAACAATGTATATCTTCATTCACATGATTATTATCTTAACAACAGTTAAAAGCCAGCAGTAGAGCACAGAGGTATAAAAAATTACACTTTTGTGGTAAAACAGTAGGAAAGTACTTTGTTATCTCGACAGCTAGGAAAGAGAAGCTTTCAGTAAGCAAAAATAAAAAGGTACTTTTACTTACATTTCATTATAATTGAGGCAGAAATATTGGCTCCAAATATAGTACCTATAAGGTTTTCTTTATCAAAGCTAGATAAAGTAAAAGACATAATAATATTTGAGTTGGTTTTTTTTCATTAATCTTAACAATAGAAGCAAATACATTAAAATACTCTGTGGCTCCAATATGTTTATGTGTGTAAAAAAGCAGTGTATAAACAAACAATGGGTATAAAAGTCTTGTTTACACTATTGCATTCACACACCCAAATTAGGGTATCCAGCAGGTTGAGTCGATAATTGAGTGCTTGGCGATGCTAGGTTACAAAATAAGGTAATATGAGGTGAAATTTTTTTAACTAGAGCATGATTGTTTTTTGCTTCAGACTTTTTCAATGGGACACTTTTTTATGGGGGGGGGGGAAGTGCACCCCTAGGTACGCAACTGCTCTATAAACTTTAGGAATGGAACTCTCTTCAGTCATGAGAAACAAAACACTGAATAGATAGTTTTTAAAGTAAAGTTACATAATCTGTAAGTATAAGTGCTTACTTACTTTTTAGCAATGTCTCTTGATGCACAATTGACAACTGTGTAAGGTAGAAATGTAATCAAGCCCAGGATGAAAAATCCCACCTAAAAGTAAACAAAAACATTATGAAAATGTGTTTGTTGGTCACATGCATATCCCTGGCACTGTCCTCACTGCGGAGGTCCATTTAACAAAACGTTGAAAAAGGCCTGAAATATCTGTACAATGTACAACAATACTCAAGTTTTTATCCTTCCATGTTAGTCCAACATAATACTTCCCAAGTTGCATAATATGCAATGTATTGATATATCCAACATATTAAACTATGTAGGTATGATAAAAACACTTCAGTAATATAAAGATATTTTTAAAATCATGTAAGTATGCTATACCACAAGAAATAATTTTGATAACTTATGTAATTACGGTATTACTATCTACTAGAGCTAGTTGACGACTATTTTTACCGAAGTCCAAAATTTTCAACATTCCCATCTTTCACTGGCGGTCATATATATTGGTTGAAGGCAATTATAGGCCGAATGCAAAGAACCAAACTGCACTTCAGATAGAAAATTATTTTTAGCTACATTATATTCTATCTTAAGGTAAAAGTGTCAGCAATTACTGTTTCTAATAATACTGACCCGATTCCTACATGAATTAGCACCCTTAATTTCAGCATCATCAGTATCTGAATCTACTTGGTCCTGGTCACTAGGCTCAGCTGGCAAGCTTTCCCCTGATTGTTTCTCTTTCATGATTACTGGTACTAGTGTGCAGTTGCCAGTATTACAGATCACTAAATACTGTACCTTACCATCCTAAGGTACCACTATACCATCCAATACCAGCTTGTCTGGCTAGCAACGCATGAACACAGCCATATTATAGGCTTTATTATAAGGTTTTTAAAAAAGCAATGAATAGGACAGCTAACTAACAGGAACCAGATAAGTGAAAGCACTTGAATGCTTCAGCCTGTAGAGTTTAAGTGATTGTATGAAGATCATAAATGCATTATGATTTACACAAAGCATTCAGTGTTAGTTTAGGACAAGACATGCTACATTGATTCCATTTGAAAAGTCAAGTCATGTGACCACAATATGACAGCTTTTATTGGTCTCATAACCGAGACACCAAATTATTCTTTCTTCATTACCTATTAAACTTTTTTTGGGAAATACCCATGACCTTTTCAAGGTACAGTACTACAACCATTACCATGGATTTGTATTGCAAAATATTAAACTCAATCATGCATGACACCTGCCTACAAACCTGTAGAAATGCAAAGTTATTCTTTGTGTAAAATACAGTGTATAAAATTATAGAACTTTTCGTATTTTATTCAGATACCAATTAGTTAATTATAGTCTAAATTTAGGGCTCTTCCCACCCACTTGAATACCAAAAAAAAAAAAAACACGTCAAATAGAAAGAAAAAAACCCAACCCATCAGTCTCCCTGCACATAAAGACCCCCCACCCCACCCTCCAAGTACCGGTAAAAACATTTGTGCAGCCACAAAAAACACCTATCAGTGGGCAAAAGGAGAGCTTGATTTTATACCACTTATTTTCACCAACAATGTGAGGCTGAGGTGGGCATGGCGTGAACTTCTTATTGTGTTCCCCGTCAGAAAATCTCTGGATCCGCCCCTGGGTGTGGTCTCACAAAATGTCCCCTACTTTTCAAAACAGATCTGCGCCCTTGCTATTTGGTAGTCCAAAGCCTAACTTGTCTTTCTGGTGGTGATTGCTCAATACACCACACCATCCAAATGGACCTCTACGGTTCAGTGCACTGCAGCAGCTACCACCATCTTAGCCGACTTATGCTATGATGCTATTAAAGTTGATAGTTACATAAAACAGCTATGCATACGATTTCATTGGGAAATTCCAAAAATTTTCATGCACATTGCAATCTCCCGGTCTCCCAATTTTTCAGAAAAGAACCCCAATAGACCAAAAAAACAGCTTATTTTTGACTTTTTGATACCAAATTGAGAATTTAATGTGTCACTTTTTACTTTTGTATGTCGACTTCCTTATTCATGTCAGCATGCAAAGTCTGTTCGGGTGTTACTGACACCCCAAAATATCAGAATGCATTGGGGAGGGGGAGGGGGAGAGATGCACTTCAACAGCGCACCCTCAGTCTCCCGAATCTTGAGTTTCAGGTTTTGGGATGTCTGACTATGAATGGGATGTCCACATGTACAGGGGTCCCAAGTTGGAAGAAGTCACTCCCGGGAAATATGGGTTAAAATCTTTTTTTTTTCTTTGTGCATGGCGATACCAATAATATAGTCACAGATTTCCATGAGACAATTGATATAAATAAAGTTGTAAAAACATGCAAATATTCTGAATTTGCAGAAGATGTGTGATTTTCTGGGAGATTCATGCTTGCTAGTCCCGGACCCATGGCAACTACTTGTGTGCTTTAGTTTCTTTTTAGCACTGATCATCACTGATCAACTCTGTTTTGCAATTTGCATATACTTAATAGGCCTAAACAGCAGCAGTATTATCTACTGATGGGATTATCTGTCAACTTGAAACGTGAATGTTGTTCTGAAAATATTCTGCTTAGAGGCCTAGCTAGGCCTATGTATGCATTTTATGATAGCCTAGCTAGGCCCTAATAATATGATAATTTTGTATAGTATGTATGTAATCTAGACAAATCAACTTGACTAACAAATGAAGGCAAACCAAAGCTAGTGTAAGCAAAGGTTAATAATGTTATCGGTCCCACACACTCTTCTCCCGGTTAGTTTAGTTTTGCTCGCCTAGGCTAGACCTATTTTTGTGTGAGATGATCAGGTGATTATTATCACTCATTATCAGCTAAGCTATTGTCGGTCCAGGCCGCTGCAGCTGGACAAAAGCCTCAGCATACTGACACCAAATCCGAGAGGTAAAGTACCTTGTATTTAAAACATATTGCAACAAGCAGTGTGTTCTCATTTTTGCCTCAGTGAATCAAATATTATATTCGTTGCACTATGTTCATTATTTCTGGCTAATGGACTATCGAAATGTTTAAAACTCACCCAATTCCGACGAGAATAAGTATCAGCCGTGGCCATTTTTCGCTAAATTTGTTTTCATGTTCAAAAACATGAAATAATGTTTACACTAAATTATGCTCCATGATATTTTAAAAAATTAATTACAATTAATTAAAATATATTTAACAATAAATATATTATTGATATGGATAAAATAATTAACAGATTATCTAAATGTCATATGAATTACATTTTGAAATAAACTTTGTTAGCCTAACATAATGCTGTCTGCTCGTCAAAAAAATTATCAGCTGTCTGTGGTAGGTGGCGCACTACACTGTCTATTATATCTCTATGGTCCAGATCCTTAGATAGAAAGTATGGATCGCCGTTACTGCCTTTGGCTGCTCTTTTCCGTTCGGCGCATTTGCTATCCGGCCCTTTTAACATTACGTTCGGTGCTTTTACATTACGTTCGGTGCTTTTTACATTACGTTCGGTGCTTTTAACATTACGTTCGGTGATTTTACATTACGTTCGGTGCTTTGAACATTACGTTCGGTGCTTTTAACATTACGTTCGGTGCTTTTGCCGCATTTCGGCTCTTTTATCATTTGGTGCTTTTACCTTTCGGCCCTTTCATCATTACGTACGGTTCTTTAATCATTCCGTACTTTCATGACATTTGACAATGTGTCTAGTGGAAAAAAATCAACGGCTGTTGGAATGAGCCTAGTGAAAATCGCGCGTAACAAAGCATATTCGACATGTGATTATCTTAGTGATAAAATAATAATAACTAACGAAAACAAAAATGTCTCGATTTCAATCAAAACAGTATTAGAAGACCTGGATCTACATTTTCTTGTCCCTAAGTTTGAAAGGGAAAGGGAAAGGGAAAGGCTTTTTCCACATTATTTTGGTGGTATATTCGGGCAAATAGAAATATAAGATTATCACTATAGACCTAGTATTGAAAACAAAAATAACTAGGGGGGGACTCTTCTTTATTCCGGATATGAAGAAGTAGGCTTATTTAAATAAAAGAAACGTAATTAATTAATTAATTAATTAATTAATTAATTACCGGTAACCAAACGATTCCAGACAAGTCCGATCCCATTTTGGCTTACATAATAAATAAAAGTTAAACTCAAACTTTTCCCCCTCCAGTTGATTGATTTATTCCCCTTTTCCCCTCCCTTTACTGTCCGGTCGTTTTACAAATGCTCCTTCCGTGGTTATCTCGTATTTTGATATTGGTATTTATTTTTTTGTCTTTTTATTTTGTCTACCTTTTTAATATTATATAATATATATTTTATACTTACTTCTTAATTCATACGCAATTCAGCCTTTGTTGCTGCTATATATGTTTTTGATGTTGAATTTTTAATAAATATACCTCAAATAAATAATAAAAACTTAGCATTTATATTACAACAAAGATACACATTTGCGGGTCCCAAGTTGGAAAAAGGCAATTCGTGAAGCAGGGGTGGAGCCAGTGCAGTGGGAGGGTACAGGGAGAACACCCATCTCTTGTATGTATGTATATATATTATATGAAGAATGCGTGCCCACCTGTGTTTCAAAACATGAATATAATATAGCGTAACAGTAATGAAACTAAGAAGTTGAAAGAAGAAATGAAAAAAAAATGAAAGAGAAGAAATAGAGAAGGAGCGCGCAAGTTCCACTAGGCTCGTTCCCACAGCCGTTGATTTTTTCCACTTGACCCGAAGTCAAAGGTCATGAAAGCACCGAATGATAAAAGAACCGAACGTAATGATGAAAGGGCAGAAAGGTAAAACTAAAAAGCACCAAATGATAAAAGATCCATAAGTGTGGCAAAAGCACCGAACGTAATGATAAAAGCACCGAACGTAATGTTTCAAAGCACCGAATGTAATGTAAAAAGCACCAAACGTAATGTAAAAGCACCGAACGTTATGTAAAAAGCACCGAACGTAATACGTAAAAGCACCGAACGTAATGTTAAAAGGGCCGAATAGCAAATGCGCCGAACGGAAAAGAGCCACCAAAGGCAGTTCCATAAGAAAGAGTTGCGACATTGAGAATTTAGAAGCCATTTTGTCATACGCGATGCACGTTCTGTGTCAGAGATATAATAAGACCATTTATTATATCTCTATGAATAAGACTCGGTTTCAGGGATTCTGCTATACGCGCCTGTGATTGGGTTGATCGCAATCACATGACTTACACCGGCCATGTTGTCACCAAAACAAAACATTAAAGCTATACGCGCGCATGCGCCTGGACTGTTTGGTAACGACATGGCGCCCATGTGCCAAGTTGGCCAAACTCCCTCTATCTACGACTCTGTCTATATCCGGAGCCATAAAAAGAGTTGCGACTGGACATTCCGCTCCTTGGTTTGCGAAAGTCACGTGGTACACACCGTCCATTTCACTACTTTTTATATTATATATAGGCCTACTGTAATAATTTACTATTTTTAAGCGGTTTTTTTTTATCCCTGTTGATAGCGATGGCGAAGTTATAAAATATTAATGCTTGCGGTACACCACGTAGATAGTTCTGAAAAGAACTGTTCCTGTTGGTTGAGAACATCTATCTCCACGTTTCGATTGTTGCTTCAATCGTCTTCAGGAAGATAATATCAGATATTGCGGCCAACTGACCTATACTATTTTAATATTTATAAATAATAATAATCAAGGTAATAATATAAGATTTGTGGGCTTGCTCATTCTATTTTAAAGAACAACAATCCAGATAACTCTATTACGGATCATTGAAATCGGTAAAGCCGGCCAAGGCTTATGATACTGGCTGTTCAATATAATACCAATGAATTAAGACAAAGGATTGCCCTTTAGTTTACTTTTCAAACAATAATTTTCTGACGGTGATAATTTGGTGTAGGCCTACTGTCAATTTACAAAGGAAAATGATGCGGCCCGCTTGGCATAATACTATTTTAATATTT